TTAGAAATCAGCCTGCTAGATTTGGTCAAATATTTAGTTAACTTACCCCTAAGGCCTTGGCAGGTCCAGCCCAAGTATTTCTCCGTCCTTATTCGGCCCAGGAGGCGGACTTTCCCCACCCCTGCTCTAGGTAGGCGCAGGCTATGTGGGAATACATCCCTCCCCTGTGAAGTTCTATTTAAGGTCAACTCATACTTTAAAACTACTGAGGTTTTGCTGAGTCAATGACTATATTTCCAAATTCAACAACTTGCAATAAAAGTTTTATGTATTCCTAGAATCTCCAGAAATGATGTTTATCTTCATAGGAAATTAATTAAAAGCAGTATTTTAAGGACCTGGATTTATTTGATAATGTCAGATATCCACTATTTGATTGTTGTTATACTAGATTCCCTGGTAAATAGAATATAGATTTAATGAAGCATTCAAAGGGTTATAGCATTGGCATAGTCATTTAGGGATTGCCCTGTGTGACTGTTTTGTAACCACTATAATTCTTAATGGACGGAACTGAAAGTGTCAAAACAGAATCCACTTTTCCTAAGTGCTTAACACAGGAAGAAAAAAAAAAAGCCCACATCTGTCAGTGTAAGTTGTAAGAAAATATATTTATTTTTTCCATGACAATACTATGATAAAATTGTTAAATACATGCATGTTTTAAAAACGGACATAAGTAACATCTTGCAGAGTTAACAGCCAAGCGTACTAGTTTTACATTTAAGGTCTCTTAGTAATAGGGTACTTATATTCTAGGTTCCTGCTATAACCATGTTCTCCAAAACATATGGAATCTAAATTCTGAAATTATACAATATAAAATGACTAAATTTTCCATCCTAACGCCACATAATCTCCAAATTTTCACCAGGCAGAAAATACTTGTTACCTGTGTGAGTGGAGTTGTTTCATCCCACATTGAACTCAGAATTTTGCGAGTTAGAGCGAGCCGCACCAATGTCCTACAACCTGCAGTTTTCTTCCTGTGTATGTATGTAAGTGCTTCTCCTTATGTGACTAAGCATGATCTTAGGTACAGAACATCATGACGGATCACTCAGGTAAAAAAGGAAAAGAAGAAACAAAAGGTCGGCAGTGGTAACATTTCAAAAAATGAAGAAGGGAACAGGTTTGGATCTGCAGCCTCCCCCTCTCTTTCAGCTACATTTGCACACACCTGACTGAATAAAAAGTAGTAAACAGTTGCTAGTATTTATTTAAAATAAAAAAATAAGATATTTAACATACATCCCTTTTGAAAAAACACTCATTCTACAAAGAACCTTATAAAAAACAAAAACCTATATCTGTTCACAGTATGTGTATTTTGTAAACAGTAATTCATTATAATGAAATTTTGAAAGTAGAAATGGTGATTTCTTAGCACTTTCAGAACGGGAAAAATAACAACATTCCTATGGTACCATCTCAAATTTGGGATCTCTTTCTATCCAGGCCAATCTTTTCAAGCAATTCTAGGTTGAAATGTTTGTTTGCTTTTTTAAAGGCCATGTTCTTTTTGGGTGGAAATAATTGGATAAAAACAAATCTCAGGCATCATATATTACCTACCTTTCCACAATAAACAAAATAAGATTTCCATGTGTTGCTTTTATTCATAATGTTCACACATTTTCCTAAACATTATGTAGGGGGGAAAAAACCCACCCAAATAGGAGGACATATCATAAGTAATGGAGAAGAGTATTTGGAATTAAACTGGGGGTAGACTATTTAAAAAAAACTATGGAAATCATTATTCAGTATTGTTTTCTATAATCAGTTGAAAATGTCACAATACTAATGTCAACCTAAACACTAACTTGTTCACATTTTCGCAAAATATTGTATTACCACACAGAAATCTTTTGTTTTTTTCTTTTTTTATAATACACACTTGGAATGCTTAGGAAAAATAATTAATTCATAAACTGAAAGTTAACCATTTAAGATAGAGTAATTATACAGAGAAATACATTTTAAATTTGTATATAATGGAGGTCAAAGAGAGTATATGGAGGAGAAATGGTGATGGAAATAACATAAGGGGGAAAAATGTATATAAGGAATGCAACAATTTTAAGTGAGCAATTCAATCGGGTGTACAAAGTATTTTTTTTGCTGAATTGCAGCAGATAAGGTCTATGTTGTTATTTTTTATTTTTAAAAGCTGTGATTGGCTACTGCAAAGGCAATCTTAGGAGATAAACATACAAATGTAATAAAATCAATTCCCCTATCAATTATTAATTTCCCCATTCACATATCTTAGTTTTTATGGTATTGAGTTATACAGTAGGAACCAAAATGTAATGTAAGTTATGACTGCTTTGTAATTGGTTAATATTCCATGAGTTATAGTTACTTAAGAGTTTTTAAACTTTTTTGTTTCTATGGTTCTTCAGGTAGGCACTTGCACATAAAAACATTCAGATTTCCTTCTTAAAACACTACTTTTAATTTTCATTAAAGTGTTGCACAGTTAGAATTTGTCTTGCATAGGCATACTCTGTATAACCAGGACACTTATAATCCAAGGTATTAACATTCTTCATAACAGGGAGAAACAAGCACTACTTAAGGTTAAAAAGAATAGAATCCTGTCCTAACTCAGTATCATCATTCAGTGGATTTGGATGTCTTCTCAATCAAACCACACCCCCTAAATCTTACCACACACCATCAAGCCTGATACGTGGATTGTTCTTAATCCTTACACTGGCACTGATCATCCCCTGGGCACATAACCCACAAAGATAGAAACAGACCAACACCAAACCAAGTACTTTCCAATGACATTCGAAGGTCATTCCTCAACGATGCATTTCCAGTAAGGCTGGACACAAATCCTCGAGTGAAAATGTTCTTAAAAAAGATGGGCCTGGTACCATGAAACTTTCATTTCAGCAGAAAATAATGGTTTAAAATAAACGCTGCAGAGAAATAGTTTATCAAGAGAACGAGCGCTCACTTCACCCATGAAGCTGCACATCAATGCATTGTTGGTTCAATGGAACACATGCTGGTGGGTACAAACACGACCCAAGTCGAATACCCACCACGGACAAAGGACTGGGGACACGGAAAATGAAGGGGAAATGCGCTCTCTGGTAACACATTTGCCCGAGTCTTTCCCAAAGCCACTTCTAAAGCACTGGATCTACATGTTACAGCTTGATACAACAGTGCCCTTCAGGAGAACTCTGGAAACGGCCCAGTCTGGGGTGGGACTCAGTCAACGAGAAATCATTCACTAAACCTTCACGATGGGCCTCGCATTTGAAGTTAGCTAATGCGCCCACATGTTACTCATGAGATGCCTGATTTTACACTTGCAGGATGAAAGATTTCATAAAAGACATAGATTTTAACAGAAAACAGCAAAAATTACTTTAAACAAACAAGCAAAACATCTTCTCAGATCGTGTGCCTGAGCAGTAGAAAATTCTGATGGCATTTTCTGCATAACATGGTAGGGAAGTACTTCAATTTCAAAATTCCATTAAACTTATTTCAAATTCTTTTTGGAAGAAAATATTCTTCGTCTCCGTTACTGAACTGTTCTCTAATGACTCAAAAGCAGAAAGGACAGTAATGTTCTTTAATATGGGTGTAGGAAAACAAACTAAGAAATGATAGGCCTAATTGTCTGCAAGAATACAAGTTGCATGAAGTTTTACGAGTGGGGCTTTTTGCCACAGCAAAAATTTAGGACTACATGTTTTCCGTGAAATCTTCCGATCCATGAGCCAGGAGATCAATGCTGGTATGGAGAGTGAGGCTGACACTTCGGCCCTTGAACTTTTACATGAACGGCTGCTTCTGGTCTAAGCTGCAGGCACACAGCTCCTCTGTCACCCGAGCACACACTCAACTCAACGATCCAGGTTCTCAGTACCAGTCTCAAAGCCAGGCTCCTCCAGGCAGGCTCGACACACTTAAGACTTCAGTTATACATGGATCTACTCCATGCGATACATCATCTTAAACGCAAAGTCCACCTAATGTTAAAAGCCTAGCAAAGTCTCCTAAGAGTGTTTTTATATGAGTAGTGTTTCCCTAAGGGGGTCACTCGCAAGAGAAATCCCATCCCTGTGACCACCAGGGTCTCCCTTCCCCATGAGGGAAGCTGGACTTGAACTCGGCTGGGAGAGATGTGAACGTGTGTTCTGTAGGCAGCATTCTTCAACAACACAGTGGGTCACAGCTCGTGGACAGAGGGAAAGGATGCGGGAGCCACAGGGCTCATCACCCTGAGCAGACGGACGGATCGTTCGTTAGAACGGCACTGGGTCCAGATGGTCACGGTGAAACACATTGGTATTGGTGAGAGCGCTCACACAGCTCTGATCTTTCCCAGGATCACAGTTCAGTAAGTCTAGAGCAGTGGTCCGCAAACAGAGCCAAATAACAGTACAATGATGGAAATTTCTTTTGAGAGCCAAATTTTTTAAACTTAAACTTTTTCTAATGCCACTTCTTTAAAACAGACTCACCCAGGCCATGGTATTTTATGGAAGAGCCACACTCAAGGAACCAAAGAGCCGCATGTGGCTTGAGAGCCTCGGTTTGCCGACCACTGGTCTAGAGCAATAAAATCCCGCCTTAGACAACACTGATCCCACTTACAGAGATAAAGGGAAGGGCCTCTGGGTTTCTTGGGGGATGAGGCAGGATCCTGTTGGGGACAGTGGCATTGGGGGAGGGAGAAAGGGGAGTCCCAGATCTGAGTGTCTCGGGTGAACACTAAGGGCAGGAGGCTGACCGAGCAAACTCTGTTGGGGATGCTGTCATGTGATACCTGTCTCATGGATGAAAACCTCTATGAACTATTGCATAGTTTAAATATCCTAGTGTATGTACAGAATTCTGTTTCGTTCCACACGTCCACATATCGCGGATGCCCGGGGACTCAGCGGAATGCCAGGTGTTAACATCAGGATTCACACACGGAGCACCTGCACAGATCTTGCCCTTAGTCACCCCGTGGCTTTTTGCCACCACATGGTTTTTATAAAGATACATTATGAGCTAGAAAAATCCCAAACTGATCCATTATGTACAGATACATCACAGAACCTCTGATGAGAAAAAAAAAAAAAAACACAAAAAACAAAACAAAAAGGCATATCTTGACTTAAGATATTTCAAAATTTTAAGTACTCTTTTAAGTATCAAAAGATAAAACACATAGACCACCTGAGGGCAGGAACAGAACAAGATCCACTTTGTAGTTTTTCATCTGCTTTTCTGAGAACCAAGTCCAATCCAGACACCACCTGTGGACCCCGAGGGCGGGCAGAGGCTGCCGGGGGACCCCTGGCTCTGGGCAGCGGTAACACAGGGGTGCCCGTCCACTCACGTGGACCTTGTGACGTTTCACCTTAAAGAGCCCTTGAGTAACTGTCCCTGGAAGAAGCGTGATCTTTTCAGTTTATCGTTTTAGAAACAGAGGACTGGATCGAACAGTCTGGACGGATGATCCCATAAGGGAGAGGAGCAGCCAAGAGGCGCGATCAGAAGGAACATCGGCCACAAGGTGTCCCGGCTGCTGCCTGGTGACCCAGAGAAGCCAAAGCCGTCACCACCGCCGAGAGCGGATGCCATTAGACCCCACGGGGTAGCCATCTCAAACGGGAAGCCCCCGGCATCGTATGGTTAGGGGTGATGTTGAACTCGCTCATGTATGTGTGCAGCTGACACTGTGGAACAACAAGTAACCCAATTAAAACCACCACCACCACCACCACCACCACCACCTAGATCTCTGGTCTTAGGAACTTACGTTTTTAAACACCAGGCAATCAAGAGCAACATGGGAAGCTAGCGGAAAAGTTAGGAAAGTAACGGAGAAGACTGAGAATCCCCCCCAGAGGCGGGACAGACGAGTCTGACTCGGACTGCTTAGTGTCGTGCTCCTGTTCCGAGTGTGTACCCCTGAGAAAACTGTGTGATGGACACCCCTTAGACAGCAGGCACAGCGACCAGCACGCGGGCCAAACGAAACGCTCCCTCGCCGTCGCCGCATTCAACAAAGACATGGACTTGTCAGCGCCGTGGAGAGGGGAGGAGAAGGGTTGAAGGTTTTCAGATCTGTGCTTGGTGTTCATCCAGGATGGAGTCCAGGGCAGGCAGACCCACGCCCTCGGTGGCTCTGACGTTCCCCTGGCCGGCAAACCTGCCTGCGATTCTGTCAAGGGTCCCTATGAGAAAACCATGGACGACAGAGCAGGGGCCGGTGGCCGGGGGATCCGTTTTGCACGTGTGGGCTGGGCAGCGTTCGGCTTGAAATACTTCTGGAGGGGAGACAAAGGGCGGACTCTTTGGCTCAAATCACAAACAGCTCCAGACCCCGAGCTGTGTGGGCCGAGTCTCCGCCATGGTGTGTAGACCACACGGAAAGCAGCGGCCGCTGCCGTGTGACACGCGTGGCGGCGCCCGCCTCGCTGACACCACGGCACAGGCCCCCCCCCCGGTGGGTGCCCGGCCGCGGGAGCTTACTGAGATGGCGGGCGGGCGGGGCACGCTAGTCGTTCGGTTTGCTCTGGAAGAAGTTTGTGAAGGACCAGCCTCCGCCGCTGGACGGCGGGGAGTCCTCGTCCTTCGGGGGGATCAGGAACTGCCGGGAGTTGATGGAGCACGGGCTCCCGAAGGACACGGCGTCGCTGCCGCTGTCCGTGGACCGCGGCGAGTCCGGGGACACCAGGGTCCAGGCGTTCCCGCTGGCCTGAGGCCGGTAGCCCGCGGCGCCCTCTGCATCCCCGTCGGCGGCCGCCGCGTCCCCGGCGGCGGGGGTCACCGGCAGGTGCATCTGGGGCTTGTAGCCGCCGCCCGCGCCCGGCTCCGCGTCCGGCTCCGCCTCGGGCTGGGCCTGCGGCTGGTACATGGACTGCACGTCGATGTACACGACCTGGGCGGTGCCCGCGGCCTCCTCCGCCCCCGGGTTCGCTAGCTCCTCCTCGATGACGGGGGGACAGTAGGACACGGCCACGGGGTTTTCGGGCTCCGCCTCGGAGCCGTCCGGGGCCCGCTCGGCCACGGGGGAAGTGATTTCCGTGTCCTCTATCTTAGGGACCGCGGTTCGCGTTTCCAGGACCTCGACGCTGTTCGGGGTACAGGGGTTCATCTCCAGGGTCTTCAGGGCACTGCTTCCCTGGAAATCAATGTGAAGGCAGAGGTTAAGGCTAGCACCAACGCTCCCACGGAAAGCCACGTTATCACATGGATTTTCTCGCCTCTGCTTGGAAACATCCATGCCTGCGTTCTGTAGTGCCTACGGGAGCAAAGCTAACTTTGTCCCTCCAGAGCAGTATTATCCCTGCGACTAACAGCGGTGGGAAAAGAGCATGACACCCATGATCTAAAAGGAGTAATTGTAGAAATTCAGCAGATGGTAGAGCCCTCTGTTTTTCCCATCTCTTTGACTTAGGATGACACTTGCATGTTAAAATTTTCCCCAAAAGACTAAAAAAATGCCAAATGCCAGTACTTCAAAGACAAATGTAAAAAACAAAACAAAACACAGGATTACCTCACAGACGGCCTTCTGGAACTGTAACGCTTTACAGTTTTCAGGATTAGGAATATCAGGGTAGAAGGTTTCTTTTATCCTTTAAATAAAGAATAATTAAGTACATTTAATAATTATAAGGTTAGTCATTAGACCACCAATAGTTAATACATCATGAGGATTACTCTGACATTTCACAAGAATAGTGCAATGGACATGAGATAAAAATGTGGGATCAGCCCTGGCTGGTTTGGCTCAGTGGATAGAGCGTAGACCTGTGGACTGGAGGGTCCTGGGTTCGATTCGGGTCAAGGGAACATGCCTGGGTTGTGGGCACAGGAGGCACCCAGCTGATCAATGGTTGTCTCTCATCAATGATATTTCTCTCTCTCTCTCTCCCTTCCTCTTGAAATTAATAAAAAAATATACTTTTTTAAAAAGTGGGATCGTTTTTAATGTGATCACTAGAACTTCCCATACGACGCACTTAGAGACTCCACGTTTAATACATAAACACCCACTTTTATTTCCAGAACCACAATCGCTCATGTCGCTGATGAAGACGGAAAGCACAGAATTAAAACGGGTCTGTGCCCGCAGGCTAGAAGCAAAGTGCAGGCCTTGCTCACGTAACCCAGCTGCCTCTCCTGCTCCTAAGCGTTCGGCCTGCAAAATGGAGAGTGAGAAGGCTCTGGACTTGGAGAGAGAGAGGCTGTTCGTCTTGAGCAAAAACTAAACCCGGACCAAAGAAAGACACAGTGCCATGCCCCCTGACAGCCACTCACAGGGGCTTTATTTATCCTTCAACATTCCTGCAGGAAAAAACTGTGAATGCAAATCTGAAATGCTCTAGCATCAAAGTCAAACTCTTTCCTTGCTTCAGCTTTTTTTTTTTTTTTTTTTTTTTTTTTTTTTTTAATACTGAAATCAGTTTTATGAAGTGATTTTTGGTCATGAGAATGTGGTTATTACCAAGGTAGGGCAGGACATTCTAAGCTTTCCATCATTACTATTTTGATTTATAAGCCAGGATTGCTAGAATGCGCTCTTGCTTTTGTCACAAACGGGGGTATTTCCAAGGCCAGGGAGGATGGTGGGTGCACAAACACCACTGTTGGTCCTAGCCCAGCGCACGGCGGACCTTGCCAGCTGACCAACAGGAGCTCTGTCTCGCTCGCCTCACTTCACCTATGGCCATTCACCCAGACCAGTGTTCGGCAAACCGCGGCTCGCGAGCCACATGCGGCTCTTTGGCCCCTTGAGTGTGGCTCTTCCACAAACTACCATGGCCTGGGCGAGTCTATTTTGAAGAAGTGGCGTTAGAAGAAGTTTAAAAACTTTGGCTCTCAAAAGAAATGTCAATCGTTGTCCTGTTGATATTTGGCTCTGTTAACTAATGAGTTTGCCGATCACTGACCCAGACACATAGTTCTTCTCACTTTCTCCAGATGGCCAACATCTTTCTAATTCCCGGGTGCTCAGAGAAGCCATCTTCTCTGCCAGGAGCATCCTTTGGGACTCTGCCAGATGGAACCCCATAGGTCGCCTTGGCAACCACCCGCAGTGCCGGGTCCTCCTGCTGTTCCCAGAGCACCCACCACCCTGCCGTACCCGCCCTCTGTGGGCATCAATCTGCTGGGTGGTTATGGGTTTAATGCCCAGCGCCCCCTAAGCTCTAAGTCTGTCCATTTACTTAGTTTACCACCATTTCCATCCTCACGGGGGAGGGGCATCCATGTCTGTTGACTAAGCGAATAAATGACCCCATTTTCTAAACACATCACTAGACAAGTGAGAGCTCGATCATTAAACTACATTTAATCTTGCATAAAGCTACTGTTATATTTAAGCGTGCAAAGATTTCTTTTGAGTACAAATACTATTCCTTTAAGTTATTAGGAAGTACAGCAGGGGAAACATTGGTACTTTTCCTTTATTAATCTTTAAACCTTTAAATAATATGCCAAACGCTTGCCCAACCTTGGATCCAACATTAACCCTGACTAAAACAAGTATTTCTTTTTACTAACTGGCTTCAACCGGAAAAAAAAAAAATGTACTTCTTTGTTAAACATAAACTAAGCAGAAGAGCAAAAGCAAACGCAGGTACCATTACCATTCTCGCTTCCGGTAACAGAGGACGCTGGTCACCAGCCCCACAAGGACCGCCACGGCCACGGGGATGAGGATGGCGATGATTAACCCCACGGCTGGAAAGAGAATGTTGCCCATGTGAAAAGCCCCACTTGCGGGATGGAGTACAGGATACATTCACATCAGAACACAGATAAGTGGGTAGCGAAGGAGAAAAAAGTCCCGCCTGCTCCAGGAACACTGGAGCTGTTCAAGTATAACCTTCGGGTGCGTCAACAGTTCCTACCCTCCCACTTCAGCGCTTCTGAGCAGGGTTTCTCAATCCGGCCCTATTGGCACTGCGGGCCCGTATCCTTCACTGAGTGTGTGTGTGTGTGGGGGGTGGGGGGGTGTGGGTGTCGGGGGGAGGCAGCTGCGTACATGCAGGAAGTTTAGCAGCAACTTTAGAGTCTCACCCATAGCTCTCCGAAGCGCCAGCAGACACTGTCGGCTGTCCCCAAGGAGGCACAATGCCCCCAGCTGAGAACCACAAGCTCGCAGTCATGTTCACGTAAGCGAGTGTGTGATCTCCAAAGAAACTCACGAGAATAAACGCAAAGTCCTCTCAGGGCCCTTTCCCCCTGCCGTGTACCCGCTGGAAAAATGCGATCAGACGGGGCCCTTAGGAAAGGGGACCCCACCTAAACGCAGGTCGCTAGAGACACCGTGCCCCGGGGTGTGGGAAGCAGCTCCGCGGCCCCTGAAACTCACAGTTCTCCTTGGTCACCACGAACATGCCCTTCTCGGGGCCCAGGCCGCCGCCAGTGTAGGCCCGCAGGACCAGGTGGTAGCTGGTCTTGCCCTGGAGGTCGGCAATGCGCAGTGTCTTCTGGGAGAGGTCAGTGATGTTCTTCACTTTCACGTCGGAGCGACCTGTTTTTAAGGTGAAGAGGACCAGATCATCTCTGTGCATTTTAAACGCGTGGTCACCATGGCTGTCACACCCGCGTCCCTGGGAGGGGCGTCCAGTGGCTGCCCATCTGCAGGCCCGGGACCGGGGAGCCGGCCAGAGCCACGGCCACGCTCCGTCTCTGCCGCCGAGCAGCCACGTGAGCTGGATCTTTTATTTAAAGCCCTGGACCTGAGCGTCTCCAGCCAGGAAACAGAGTATCGGGCCTTGATGGCGAGGCCTGGGAAGTTCTCACACATGTTGCCCCCGGCGTCCAGCCCAGATCCATCCTGACATTCGCTCTGATGCTGGTCCCTCCGGATGAATCCAGTGATCTCTCAGTGACGCTGACTGCCCCCTGGATCCCACCACTCCCTCCCAACAGCCCCCTAATGTCCAAATCCTCTTTCCTGGCGCACACCCACCCCTCTAGTTCTCTTGGTCTCTGTGGATTTATGCGTTGTTGTTGTGTGTTTTTCCTGACTCACTCTAATTTTACTGACCAATCCACCAGGTCGCACTGGAAGTCTAGCGGCTAGAATCTTAACTGGCTCCAGTGAAAAACGTCTGAGCATCTGAGGACAGTTACAGCAGACTCTGATGTCCGTGGAACTTGGTAATTAGGGATTCCCTCCCTCAGAGGCCACTCGGAAGGCTCAGGAAATGCAGGCTCGGTGACTGGGAGGCGCAGTTAACGCAGCTGCTCTGGGGGAGGGACTCGTCAGTGTCTCCACGCAGATGCCCTTCTCTACCTGTGAGACCGGCACGGAGTAACCAGAGTGGCTTCTTTCCGGGGAGAGGTCGCCAGGGAAATGAACGCCCTCCGACTGACAGATGACACGCTTGGGCAATGCGGCTGCGGATAAGGAGCATCTGGCTCCCACAGAAACGCAACGTAGGGAAAAGCCAGGAGCCTCCATCCACATTTCTATAGCTGCAAACCTGGGCGCTCCGAGTTCTCTGAACTCTTAGGGCACGCACTTACAGGTGTCAGGGGTTGGCTGTATTTTTAAGATCTAATGCAGTGGCCGGCAGAGCCAAAGATCCACAGCACAACGATTGAAATTTGAGAGCCAAGTTTTTAAACTTAAACTTCTTCTAACGTCACTTCTTCAAAATAGACTCCCCCAGGCCGTGGTATTTTGTGAAAGAGCCACACTCAAGGGGCCAAAGAGCTGCATGTGGATCGAGAGCTGCAGTCTGCCAACCAAGGATCTAATGGGTACACTTGTCCCCGGTCGAGGCCATGAAGTTTCTCATTTCTTTGTGGCCGTAACTGTGAGGATGCTTTTGTCAGAAAACAAAGGAGGCTCCGAAGCTATTGGTTGGGTTCCTGAGTCTTCCTCCTCCATTATTATAAGTTCAGGAAGACTATTTTGTGTGTGTGTGTGTGTGTGTGTGTGTGTTTAAGTAACCTTCATAAGATGCTATGGTATGGGTCAAGCCAGACTAGTAAGAGATGGGTCTTAGATTCCAAGGCTTCTGAATAAATACCTTGAATAATTTCTGAAAGACATGTACCTCCGACCGTAAAATCCTCCTATTCATAACATGACTGCATTTTCACTTCCTGTTTTTCGGAGTTTTGGAAACCAGCATGAAAGCAAGGAGCAGCACTTCCTTCCTCCTCCATTTGTGGTGAACGAAGAGCCTCTGGGAAGCATTGCTGCCACCTGGGTGACTCACTTACCTGATTCCAGACCTCGCATCTTCGAGGTGTCTCTCTCTCCCTTTTCAAAGTAGAACACATAGCCTCTCAGGAAGCCTCTGAGCTCCTCCACGGGTATGTCTTCCCACTTCACGAGGATGGAGTCTGCGGACGTGTCCTCCACGGTGAAATTCGGTGCAACGGTTGGAGCTGGAAAAGGGAAACGGTCAACAGCTGAGGGAAAGTTCACCGACGCAGAGTAACACATCAACGGTTAATGAGTTTCTAGCCTCCAAAAGAGCTAAGCTAGCCCTAGCCAGTTTGGCTCAGTGGGTAGAGCGTCGGCCTGTGTACTGAGGGTCCTGGGTTCGAATCCCGTCAAAAGCACATGCCTGGGTTGTGGGTTCAATCCCCAGTAAGGGGCGTGCAGGAGGCAGCTGATCACTGGTTCTCTCTCACCACTGATGTTTCTCTCTCCCTCTCTCTTCCTCTCTGAAATCAATAAAAATATATTTCTTAAAAAAGAGCTACACTTCAAATGCAAAGCTTAACTCCTATGTAATCACAGACGTACAGATATTACTACACACACTTTGGCTGTGAAGCTAGCAACCAAACATGCAAAGGCAGAACTTGCTATGTAGGGCAGCAATCTACATAAAATCTCTAAGTGGCTACTCAAGTGGATTCCATTTGCATTTCCCCCTCTTTATTGATGGTCTGGCATTAGTTAACAGCTGTTCAAATTTGTGTGAACTATCAATGAAGTATTTCTGAAATAAGATTATTTTTCAATGACAATAAATCTGTGAAATACAAACATTAAATGAAGTAAGAATAAGTAGCCATAAATAATTTTAAATGTGTCACACACATCATTTTTCCCTTCCTGAACTCAACATCCCCATTTAATCTAGGTTTAGAATCCAACTGCTGCCAATTCCCGTGACCTTGACCTCTAGGAAAACCTCCCCACGTAACTCACCCAGTTCCTCCACGTATCCGACCACGGAGCGCAGCAGCTGGTAGCCGCGGTCCCGGCAGCCGTACAGGAAGAAGTGGTACCGCACGCCGGGGCGGAACTGATCTGCAGGAGGACACAGCGGCTGTGAGTGCCTGTGTTACTCGCCAGCCTAGAGCAGCTCCCTCTGAGACGGCCAAAGCACGTTTACAAAAGTTATACGTCCCTATTTTCAAAACGGGAAATGTTCAGAGTGGAAATGACAAGATAAAACAAAACCACATTTACGGGGAGAAATGGTGACCAAGGCTTTGATTTTTGTTCCTTAAAACCAGGCAACGGCAGACTGAATCCGAGTTGGGTGACCTTGGGCAAGTGACCTAACTTCTCTCCACCCAGGAGGGCCTTGGCTCCTCTTCCTCGTGGCAGGCATCAGCTTCAACTTTCCGTCCAGATACAGCATCTAAGTCGGTGCCTCTCCATATTAATCACCCCCCCCCCCCCGCCTCCTCCCAACCCCTCCCGGGAACCCTCCAGGCCCACCCGCCTCCTCCCAACCCCTCCCGGGAACCCTCCAGGCCCAGGGAGGACGATGGAGGGGCGCACACCTCAGAACTGCCAGTGGGGGAAATGCAAGGGGAGGCCACGGAAAGGGGTAGGTGCAGTCAGCACGCTGGGAGGTGCAAGAAGGTGCAGGGAGGAAGGATAATAATTGCCCCGGCCAATTCTGCACCGGAAGCAGCTTGGCTGCCTTCCAAGCAGACCCGGAACATGATCAGACCCCACACGGGTCCTCTAACAAAGGAGTCTCAGCCCCACCATCTGACAGGGACAGAGGGAACGAGGGCAAAGAGCCAGCACTGCCTGCTCTGGAACCACACGAGCAGGGGAGGGCCAGCCCTGGGGGAAGAACGGCTCAGGCCCCGAGGGCAGAGACACAGCACTGGCCAGCTGCTCGGAAGGACAGTGCGGGTGGAACGAGGGCACTCATTCCCAAGGGCAAGGATGGCACAGCCTGCAGGTTCCCAAGTGCCCCCGGGGCTAATCCAGGCCGCAGGGCCTCAAGGGCAGCTCACCAGGGGCTCGGGGCAGTTAGCCATCAGGGAGCTGGCCCCACCCGCTGTGCCCGCTGCCACACCCAGTGCCCTTGATGGACGTCAGGCAAAGCGGTCATGTGGGTGCAGGGCCTTGGTGCTCAGCATCTCCCTGACCCTGGTACCGGGGCCCTGGGCAAACCCAGGCAGTAACATTGCATGCGGCCCCACTCCTCATACGGTATTTCTGTAGCCTCCTCTGTGAGCATCTCCCACGTTGTAAACCTTCCACACACGCTTCAGGGCTGCTTCATACAAGTGCCAGGACTGGCTCCTTCCCCTACTCGCTGTGTTCAAGCTGACGATGATCGAGAGCGCCGTGGTGAGCATGCTCAGCTGTGCATCTGAGCTGCTCTGTCTTTTAGAATAAACTCCTAGACACGTAATTCCTAGATCGGGGGATCTGGAACCTCTCACACACACATGCCCCAGAGCACCTTCCGGAAAAGCTGACCGGCCCACGCCTGCCCAGCAGGGAGGGAGTCTGGTCCCTGCACCGCCCCCGTCGCCCCGCCAGCTGCTCCCCAACCCTGCCCCCGGGGAGCCCTCGGAGCACGCACCCGACTGGATGAGGGCCTCGGTGCTGTGGGCGCGGACCTTCTTCCAGTCCATGAGGCAGGGCTGCGGCTGGGACGCGTTGCACCACTTGATGACGTAGTCGCAGGTCATGTTGGGGTCGTAGCTCCACGTGAGGAGGACCCCGTTGCCCGTTCCGATGGTCTGCTCTACTCTGAGGTCATCTTCAACGAGAAAGGAGGGCTTTTGCTGGCGTTACGGGTAAGGACGTAAGGCGGACCTCAGGAAGACGGGCACAAGCTAGAAGACCCATTGCCACTGCAGGGAGCTGCTAGCCTAGGGCTCCAGCTAGGTGAGCCTGCAGTGCGTGTGCGAGTGGGCTCTGCTAGTTCTGCTGCGACTACGGCAATCCCCTGTGCATGCAGGTGAACTCAGCAGCTGAAACGGAGGAATGAAAAGGCAGTAGGACCAGGTGGCAAGGTCGTGGGGCCAGGACCTGCAGCGTGAGGACCCTCTGGGACAAAGGCTGTTTCTGGAGGTCAGGAGCCAGAGCAGAGGGTCAGCTGCTGTGAGACACTCTCTCTCTCTCCCTCCTTCCCTCCCTCCCTCCCGCCCGCTTTCTCTCTGGGGCACAGGCAGGTGAGGACAGCCAGGTGTGCACCGACACTGGTGCCTGTGGATATTTTGTATTTCTGAAACGTGCTTTGCTCCCCTCTCCCTCCTTCTGATTCCCTGGCGATCCACTCTAACACAGAACCCAGTTCGGTAACAAGTGATAAGACTGCCTGCAGGCAGAATGGAAAAGATACTTAGAGGGCCCTGCCTGGACCAGTGTGTCTTCCTTGAGGAGTGGGTGGTCAGAGAAAGATGCCCCATGTTGGGGCTGAACAGCAGGGGTGGGGTAACCCAGAAGAGGGGCTGATCCCAAGCAGAGGTGACATGGTATGTGAACTCCCCACTCAGGAACTGTCGAGGTGTCTGAGAAGGAATGGCCCACTCTCTGCTAACCCATAAAACTTAAAGGAAGGCATTAAGCAATTTAAAAATTACACCAACTTTTCTTCGGAAGTTTATACTGAAGGTCTGATTTAGACTCTAAGAAGAACTTATCAATAAGGGATTTCTATTAAAAGAATGTCTTATCAACAAAGCTGCCATTTAAAAACTGAATATCTTTTGCTTGGCTGGTGTTGCTCAGAGGTTGAGCTTTGGCCCATGCGCCAAGAAGGTTCGACTCCCAGCCGCGGCACATGCCCGGGTTTCAGGCACAGTCCCCAGTCGGGGGTGAGCAGGAGGCAGCCGACTGATGTTTCTCATCGATGGTTCCATCTCTCCCTCTCCCTTCCTCTCTCTCTAAAAACAATAAAAACGCATTTACACTGATTATCTTTTCCTGCCTGGCAGGAAATTGCCTAGCTGACATAAGAATCAACTCCCGTGGTGCTGGGGAGGTAGATAACAACGGCGTCTGAATAAACTGTTACAGCGTTCTTCCTAAGAGTAACACTCACGGCTGTCACCCTCCAACATGCTGCGTTCGAGTCACAGGCACCGGGGTTCTCTGTCCGTCCACAGAGCATCCAGGTGAGACTCACGACAGGGGTCTCAGTGGGCAGTATTCCCGTCTGTCCCTCCTTGTATACCAGCAGCAGGACGAGAGCAAGCCACCTCTTCGAAAAACTCCACCCCACGCCCCCTCCGCACTCACCGTTGGGAATCTCCATGCTGGCTATCCTGGAAGGCGGCGAGGAGCCCACGGAGTTTTTGGCCACCACACTGATGATGTAGTCATGCTTGTCCAGCTGGATTTCTGCCTTGTGCTGAGGGTCAGGGATCTCAGACAGGGACTGTGTTTTCTCCTCTGATGAACAGGATACGTTATAGAAGAGTATTTTCCCGTTGGCTTCATTCATGGGTAAGGGCTATGAAAAAAACAGAAAGTAATTTATGACAAAGCCCTGCAAAACTGACCGTCGAGCCCAACCTGAACACTACACTCTCACGGCAAGATGACGTGAGAAAAGAGGATGCTGTCACAAATGGCATAAAATCCCCGAAGGCCTGGGCAAACCAGGAAGGTGAGACTGAAGGAGAATGATGAGTACTGTGAGCAGTACGAGCACACAAAACTGTAAGAACTGAGTACACAAAAAACAATATTTAGCCCGGCCAGGGTTTGAGTGTGGACCCTATGAAGCAGCAGGTCAATTCCTGGTCAGGACACATGTCTGGGCTGCAGGCTCAACCCCCAATGGGGGGCATGCAAGAGGCAGCCGATCGATGATTCTCATCACTGATGTTTCTCTCTCCTTCTCCCTTCCTCTCTGAAATCAATAAAAATACTGGAGGCCCAATGCACGAGTCTTCGTGCAAGAAAGGGTCTTCCTTCCCCTGGCTGCCTGCATTGCCTTCGCTCTGGCCAAAGCCGCCTTTCCGCCTTCCCACACTGCACAGAGGCTGGGAGCAGCTGGAGTGGTGCAGACCTCTCCCCGCAGCTCAGTGAGTGCATATGCAAATTAACCTATCTTTGTTGGGTTAATTTGCACACTCACTCCTGATTGGCTGGTGGGCATTGCGAAGGTATGGTCAATTTGCACCTTTCTCTTTTATTAGTGTAGATATTTAAAAAAAAAAAACAAAAACTATTTAACCTCACATTTCTCAGAAGCTAACCATAAAGTTCCAAGAAGCACTGCTCTATATAAAAGCAAAACATTAACAAGTATGGCATCACAGCTTTTTACCACATGCATTGTTTTCTCATTTTAAGAGGGGTACATGCTATATACGCTGCCACCTCCCCGGGTCCTACCCCACCCCTTCCCACCTGCATACCCCACCAGGGATTCCACTTATACGGGGTTGGGCAACGGAGTTCAATTCTTGTACTGTTCTTCATTAACTACTGTGTTATTTTTCTGCCCCCTGCCCCCCACCTCCCGCCCCGCATGCCACAAGACTGTCTCCAGCTCCCATCTCTCCTTGAGCTCAGAGCCTTACTTCAAAGCACCACCCACTGGGCTCGCCTTGGACATCCCAGTGACACATGTTTACAAACCTCAACATGTCCCAAACAACGTAATGTCTACCCAAATATGGCAGAACAATTAACCTCATGGCTGCAGTTAGTCTGAATCACTTCAGCACTGTTAATCCTCGGTTAAACAGTCATCTGGTTTGAACAATATCCGAACTTCCCCCACATGGGAGGAACTGGGGCAATCATACCATTCCTGTGAGGCCTGACAGGCCGCCTCGGTGGCTACGGGGATGCGAGTCCCATCCAGGCGACCACCGAGCAATGGCACTTCTACGCTCAGGCCTCACCCTTCAAAGCCACAGTGATGTCAGAGTTTTGCAAAAATAATCTTTTTCCTTCCCATAGGGAACAAAATTCACTACTGAAAGGAATCCGATTATGAAACCTGATGTAGAAAACAACTGTGTTTTTAATGTTCATAAATCAGATAAAAACTATAGCAACAGAAATGTTCATTCCACCAGAAGGGAAAAACACTAAAATATAATGCAATTCGTATTTTATCTAAAATTTTACAAAACTAATTTTACAAAACTAGTCATTACTATGATTTATTTAAGGGAAATTACATATAACATCTGTTTTAAATGTTCATTTCCTACTCACCAAAGAAAAGAAGAGGCAACACAAATAGTTAGGGCTCTACCTCGTTGCGTCTGGCTTTGTTTCTGACTAACGTGAGAGGGACTGGACCCACGAAACCCGCAGGCCTTTTGCGGGCCTCGTAAAGTCACAGCACAGAACACTGCCATCTGAGACCCTCACTGAAGAGGCAGGGTGCAGCAGCAAGGAGGAGTCGGGAGGCCAGGAGCCCGGGTACGTTCTCAGCAGTTCTGCAGGTCTGAGGAATCCTGGCTCCCCGATGCCCCAGGACCCTGTAAGTCAGGCGGTTAACCATAACCAAGTCACATAAATATTCAGGGAAACATGAGACAGTTACCTTCCAATATATTATTAAATTCTTCCCGTCGGAGCGCCACTCTCTCCAAGTGTCCGGTCCCTTGGAAGGAACTAGGAAAGAGAAGGAAAAGTTAGTACGTGAGGATCTACTCCGTCAGTCGATGTCCATGACTGAGATGGTGGTGCCTGCAATTTGTTTCTAGGCTTCTGGAATTCTCAGTAAGAGATGAGCCAGTTGGAGAAAGAGAAATATCACACCATCTCACTCATGTATGGAATACAACGAACACCACAAACTGATGAACAAAAACAGATCCAGGGACAGAGAAGCATCGATCAGACCATCAAACCTCAGAGGGAAGGTAGGGGAGGGTGGGGTTAAGAGGGAGAGATCAACCAAAGGACTTATGTGCATGCATATAAGCCTAACCAATGGACACAGACAACAAGGGGGTGAGGCCATGAGTGGGGTGGGTGGGGGGGAATGGGAGCTCATGGGGGGATGAGGATAGGCATGTAATAACTTAATAAAAAAAAAAAAAAAAAGAAAAGAATGGGGAGCACTCCTCAGTGGCTTCCACTTAGAAAACGAGGAAAGAAATGCTCTCAAAGCCTGCAAAACACTGGCCCTTAGCATGGTAACACCCCCCCTCGAGGCTGTGAGTGCCCACACCCTGGCTTCCTGGCTGCTCCTCAGACCTGCGGAGGCTGCCTGCCTGGGCTGCCCCCCTGACTTTCTCGCCCTCCCTTCCTCTGCCCGAACCCCTTCTCCTGAGAAACCCCCCAGCTGAGGGAGAAACCTCCCTCACCCAGGGCTGCCCTGTTCCCAGGTCCAAGATTGCAAAAACCCCCCACCCCCCACCCCGTCTGCACTCCCCGCCCCCTTCCTAGGTTTCCTTTTTCTCTGTGGCACTCACTACCACCCGGCAGACGGACACATAATAATAACAATGATTTCAAATCCTCCAGCCTCTGCATTCCATGGCAGAGACTGCTGGTCTACTGCTGCTCTGCCCCTGGAGACCAGAGCGATTCCTGACACGTGGTAGTTGTCATGCGATGAACGGCTTCACCTCAATGAAGCATAATCAAAAGGCTCCTTCCCTTTCGCCTGCAACCAAGGCTCATCAACCGAAGTCGAAGCACCCGTGGGTCCGGTTCCTGCCCCTGTGGGTCCCTCCCGCACCTTATCAGGGCTGGCTTGTGTGACCAGCAGGGACGGGCAGACGTGAGGGTCTGTCCCTTCTGAGGCCAGGCCAGGAGGAGGCTGTGGAGGCGGCCCTGTTCTCTCTGGGATCGCTATGTCCAGGGCAGCGGCTGCCACTCTCTGAGGACACCAGCAGCCCCGTGGGGGGCACAGAGGCTCCTGCCTGCGGCCCTGGGAGAGAACCGCCTGGAAGCAGACCCTCCGGCCCCAATCAAGCCCGAGGCCACCCCCCACACACACGGTGCGCGGTCTCAGGAGAGATTCTCGGCTAAGCTGCTCCTGAGCCTCTGAGCGGGGCACTCGCTGAGAGACAGGACATGTTTGCTGCTTTAAGCACAGAGCTGTGGGTAACTGAGCCCAGAGCAATGATTCTCTGGACTCATGCACAGGACTCGTTTCTCACGATCCAAGTCACTCTGACACGCACTGCAAAGCCCCTCTCCTCTCTCAGTCTTCATGGGGAGACACGGCATCCGATGAACCACCGTCACTTTTTGTCGTCCTGTGTGTTCCACTTGGGAGGAGGAGTTTTACTATCTCCTCTGTCACATAATGCAAATAAAAGACTGTGCTGTCTTTTGAGGAACGATTCCTGAAAACCACACCTACTTCTGCTTTCTGTTTTAGAGCTGGGGTTCAGGGGTTGAGTCTTACTCTGTCTTTGGGGATTGTAGTCAGAAAACCAGTTACCTGACTGCACAGCTATTTTGCTCTAGGTCTAACGGTGGAAATGAAAGTTTGAGACCTTAGCCCCAGCCATTTCTCAGGCCTAGGCCAGAAACAAAAATTCCAGCCAATTCCCTCCACTGACACTTGTTTTTGCTAAGAAAGGCAATCTGGGTCGTGAAAAGGAGGAGGGCGTGTGAGAAAAGTCTCGCCACGACATCCTCAAGGTTCCAAGGGTGGTCTCGTACCCATCACCTTGACACAGACGTGAGGGTGGCCTTGTCCTCGCACACGGCACATGCCCAGCACTGCCCACGGCATCCGGAAACCTTGCAGCCCATCATTCAAAACGTCTGCCTGAGGTTTTACCAGCAGGCATCAGGTAGGTACGCAATTTATCTACCCACTCTCCCGTGTTCGGTCACCGTGGTGACATTTTCTCTAGAGGCAGTTGTGGTGTGTCAGGATCCATAACAATAATAATTAACCACAAGTCACTGTGTTCACTTACCGGCTTCTGTGGTTAAATATTGTTTTTCACTGCTCCATTTGCTCCATTTCCAGAAAGTTCCACTAGAACAACGAATCTGGAAAGCATACACCGTGTACGGACTTAACTTGTCCACGGCGATGAGGTAATTTGAATTGTCTACTCCTTTGACTGTGACATTCCGCTGTTAGAAAACAAACACTATGTGCACATCACGTGTGTATGAATACAGACACACACACACATATACACATACTTTTTAGAAAGAAGAAAGCCTCCCAAATGTGTAACCAATTGACCGAACAGCCACGTGAGTTCGCCTCTCTAAGATCATCCCCTATCATATGGTAATTCGTAGATAAATGCCAAACCTGTGAGATTGAACTCTGCAACAGCAATAAACAAAAACGGAGGTGGCTTTTATCCAAACATTGAATCTAATGAATAACGGCCGGTTAAGTTACGCAGAGAAGGGCATATAAGTTCGGCAGATCGACGGCTAGTGGCGATGCAGTAAACCTCCCTGTCCTTAGGCGACCTAAGGGGACCTTGAGGGTTGCAGGTGTCGCTTAGGTGGCGTTTGCAGCTTTTTGGAAGCAGGCTTCCGCCTAGCCCCGTTTTCCAATGTGGCGCTTAGCACCTCTAGTCTGCTGCTCAACGCGCAGACTGTTCAACAAATATTTAAAAGGAATGAAATTAAAAGGAAGCCTTCCAAAACAAATCTGAGGATTTGCATACCCCCGGGGAGGCCTCGTGATCTCCCGGTTACTCACTCCAAAGGAGCTCTCAGAGTTCCAGCCTGCAGTGCGACTGAAGACAGTGCACAAACCATTAGCAAGTTTCCAAATGAATTTTTAAGTACGGCATCATTTATTTTGGACGTACCACCAATTACAAGATGGTGCCGTATAAAAGTCAACCTAAGTATTTAAAATGTATTAAGAAGTCATGTTTTGACTTATAATAACCAATTATAACTTGCTCCTGCAGCTGCACTTAGCGGTTTTAAAATCACATCTTCTCTCCGGTGCCAATTAGTCCATTATCTGAGGCTTGAGGTTACGGCAGAAGCCACCCGCTGATTCACAGATTTGTTGAGCACCAGCTACACACCAGGTGCTATACCGGACCCGGAAACCAACTGAGGAGAAGTCAGACTTATGCTCCATAGCAGCCAGTATTATAGTTGTTTCCAAGTGCCCCATACAATGCTGTCATTACTCGCATCCGTAATACCACGGTTCTTAGTAAATCTCTGTAATCGGTAATCAGAGCTTATGCATGTAAGTTTACTTAGTTATTTTTGAAGACTAAGTATTTTATCAATCATAACCTCTAAGGAAGTTTGCAGGAGAGTCTTACTCACCAATTCCCGTACTGAATTAGCTTTGTTAATTTCAACTTGACATAACAGCTTAATCTTTGCGAAGCTGCCTGGTAAGTGCCAGGAAAGTGCAACAGCTGTTGAATTAATATCCTTCACTCTGATTGAAGTAGGCGTATGGGGGCAAACTGTAAATACAATTTTTAGAGATTCATTACTTTAACAGCAATTTTCTAATATGACAAATGAGAATCAAGGGAAGTGAAGACCGGGAGAGGGATTGTTAGTGCCGAACAACAATATTCTCCTCAGTGTTTGTGAAATAACACAAACCTCGCTTCACTGCCGACAACGTGCCAACCTTTTTTTTTGAATATATTTTTTATTGATTTTTTTACAGAGAGGAAGGGAAAGAGACAGAGAGCCAGAAACGTCGATGAGAGAGAAACATTGACCAGCCGCCTCCTGCACTTCCCCTACCGGGGATGTGCCCGCACCCAATGTATACGCCCACATGCCAACATTTTTTAGGAACCGACCTTGCTCAGGTACCTGAATGGTGTCAGGAATACTAAAAGGAGGTCAGAGAATAGTCTCTATCTGCAAGGAACCCCTGACTTACTTGGGGGATGACAAACCAAAAGAAGGGAAATGAACAAGAGTACAGATGCTAAGTTCTAAATGTAGGGCACACATATTAAGCACCACAGGAATCTACTATATATATAAAAGCTTAAGTGGCCATCGCAGCCGATTGGGTGACCAAAACAGGCTGAGTGGGCAACCGGGCCCCTGGAGGAGGGGCAGTTGGGGGCAACTAAGATGGCAGGGGGAGGCAGTGAGGAATGACTAGGCTGATGGGGGGACAGTTGGGGGTGACCAGGTCGGCGGGGGGAGGAGGGCAGTGAGGGGTGACCAGGTCGACATGGGGGGCAGTAAGGGGTGACCAGGCTGGCGGCGGGGGGCGGGGGGGGGACAGTAAGGGGCAACCAGGCTGGTGGAGGGGGCCAGTTAGGAGGCAGTGGTCCCGGATTGTGAGAGGGATGTCCGACTGCTGGTTTGGGGCAGTCCCTAGGGATCAGGCCTAAACCAGCAGTCGGACATCCCCCGAGGGGGTCCCAGATTGCAGAGGGTGCAAGCTGGCTGAGGGAACCCTCTTCCCGTGCACGAATTTTGTGTACCGGCCTTCTAGTCTAAACTTAAACATGGTAAGGAGGATCCTACAGTGAAGACTGGACTGGGAATGAGCCCGGAAAGAAGAATCAGACGAACGCTGGCAAAACGAACGCAGGAAGGCATTTCCGGTCGGGGTCCTGGCACAGCAGCGCAGCGTGCATGCTATGCTGGGGATAACACACACACCGGTCTGAGGGTGGGGGAGTCATGTAGTGAATAAGGCTGAAATGGCAAAACGCAGCCACAGTGTCCTCAGGTAGAATAAGGAAACGAGAAAGACGATGGGAGGAGATAATTGATGAAGGTGATTTACGTGTAACAAACCAGGCAGCAGGACCACTGCCATCCCCGGCCAGGCCGTACCGGAGGGCACCGGGTTTAAGCCCTTCTCCGCCTCTGTCCATCTCCGTGCTGCAGAGCCCGGCATGGCTGGTGCACAGGGAATGACCATGGGAATGAAGGCAAAGTGCGGGGCCATATTTTCTCTCTATTTTACGCTACAGATTCATAGGACTGGCAAGAAATTAAGAAGTCCTCAGCAGTGAAAAGGAGTGAACTACTTACTGATCCAGACAACACCTTGGATGGATCTCAAAATGTTACCCTTAGTAAAAAACACCAACCTCCACCGGTTATACACAGCACGATTCCACTCATAATAACAATCTCAAAATGACAACACAACTGAGATGAAGAACAGACGGGCTGCTGGGCCCCCAGGGACACGGCTGTGGAAGTGTGTGGGGGGGGATGGGGCGGTGTTAAAGGGACAGCATGAGAAGTGCCTTCTTGGTGACAGCAGTCTTGAATGTGTCGGTTCCGTGAATCTAAACATAAATCCGATCACATGGACCTATACACATACATGTACACAACACACACACACACACACACACACACACACACACAATGGAATGCATATAAAAACTGGTGAAAACTGGGCCTGCACAAAGTCGGTGGTGTGGTTTGCAGTATTGTTCCAAGGTCAGCTGCCTCGTTTGGATATGGTACTACAGTAACATCAGGTGTTACCCCCAGGAAAGCCAGGTGAAGGGGGTCACAGGGCTCTAATTTATTATATTTTTGCAACTACCTACCATTATTTCAAAACAAAAACTCTTTAAAAATTGGGTAAATTCTTTTTTTTTTTTTTAATAAATCAAAAACTATTAGATAAAGCCACTGACAGTTTCTATGCAAATGAAATGACATTCAAAATTTTACCTGGATTCAATAAAATGGTGCAACTTGAAATTACACATTTTAAAATGACCTTCACAAGATTAATACTAATTATACAGAAAATAATCAGTAAAAAGTAATTCCTAGACGAACTTTTCATTAATCTCAAGACATTTTGCCTCTTCTAGAGTTATTATAAAACACTGGTTTGTGTAGCAGCTTACCTTTCTCAGTCACGTTGATGAAAATCGTTGATTCTGATTGACCCAGAGGATTGAGAGCATTCAAAGTGAAATTATATATTTCTTGGTTTGGAAGCACTTGAAAGAATAACTGATAGGTTTCATTTATGGGCGCTACAACTCTTTTAAATTCAACAGATTCTCCAGAAAAACTGAAAATTAAGAGAGGAATAAGAAACATTAAAATTATATCAAGACATGAATGGGTAGCTCAGTTGGTTGAAGCATCATCCCGATACCCCAAGGTTGCTGCTGGTTCAATCTCCAGTCAGGGCACATACAAGATCAACCAATGAATGCATAAACAAGCAAAACAATAAAACCAGTTGTTTCTCTTTCTCCACCCCCCACTCTCTAAAATCAATCAATAAAAAAATGTATTTTTTTTAAATATCAAAATGGCAGAAGATAAATGGTGCAGGGAAAAAAAAATGAGTGGGTAAATTTCTAGTAATTAATGTTTTCAAAGTATTTCTATTTCTAATTATAGATATACTACATCCTCAGAGAAGAAAGTATATACGATACAGTAAAAATAATCAGCCGTAAGCCCGAGACCGAGAAACAGTCTCTGCTCGTGTTTGAGGCTTCTCCCTTCCGGGCTGTGTGGGAAATGGAGACCATTCCAGCCTGCATGCACTGTGCTGCAGAACATCCCATTTTACACTGTGTCTCTGGTTTTCCATCTTACTCATAATATAAAACAGATAGAGCATTTTGCTGTATCATGTGACATCCTCCTGACGGACTGGGTGCTGAAGTCTGGCGTCTTTTCCCGGGGACGCTTACCTTTCAAACAAAGTGTAACTGGTACTTCGAGGGCCCAGCAAGGCTGTCGGCCTCCCGGGGTCCCACGTACAGATGATCTCCTTTAAGTCATAGGTCTCACAGTTCAGCTTCTGAGGAATATCAGGTGGATCTGAAAGGAAAAAGAAAAGAAAAATGTACTTACTTATTTTTACATACATGCTCCCTGAAAATGTTATGTTTCGTATGTGTTAACTATATTTTATACCATTTCTTTAAAATGAGATAAATGTACTGTTTATATTTTACTTTTTGAACCATGCAGGAATTACTGTTCTTTCCATAGCATGTTTGTTTGAAGTTCATATTACATAAGAAATGACAGATTAGCCCTAACTGGCTTGGCTCACTGGGTAGAGCGTTGTTGCCTGTGGACTGAAAGGTCCCAGGTTCGATTCCGGTCAAGGACATGCACCTTAGTTGCGGGCACATCCCCAGTAGGTGGTGTGCAAGAGGCAGCTGGTCAATGTGTCTCTCTCAATGTTTCTATGATAACTCTCTATCCCTCTCCCTTCCCCTCTGTAAAAAAATCAATAAAATATATATATTTTTAAAAATGACAGATTAAATTATACTGAAGAGTGACTATTAGCTCATTTGAAAATCCCCCAATAGCAACTCGAAGAGAGCGGCTTATCATTTATCTCCCTTAAATACTACTGGAGTCTATAAAATCTCTCAAAGGGAAGTGTATCCAATAAGTTAAGTCAGAAAAATCTACAAGTTAAACGTATTATTAGTGATCACTATATATATGGCTTGAAAAGAAGTACCAAATCATATTAAAAGTTAACCTAAGTCAGGTTACAAGTTTCGAGTTGTTAAGTAAGTTCCAAGGACTATTATTTACAAAGTAACTCTCAGGAAAATCCTGCATCGCCTACAGTGAAAGTGAATACTGTTCTTCTGGCATTTTCATTCTTTATGGAAACTATTCTCTCTGGCTTTGTTCAGGAAGGACCAGAAAAAAGAAAAAGGTGTTTTGCTGAGTGTGTCCGAGACGTTTGAAGTGGTAAGGGGAAATTCTGCAGTCTGATGATTATAGGAATTGGTATTTCTGTGATGTTTAACCCAAAACATGGGGTGTCCCAAAACTTTATCCCAACTATCTGCCACGGAAGGTAAGTTTAAAAAAACAACAACCAATGACTTACTTATTGAAAAATTATGTAAAATAATCTTATTTTAAAACAACAAAATGTTAAAAATAGTTCTCAGTTTATCAACCAAGACTTAGCAAATTTCAAATACCTGCTCCAGAGATAAGAATAATGTCCTACAGTTTTAGGTCAGTGGTCGGCAAACTAAGCCACATGTGGCTCTTTGGCCACTTGAGTTTTTAGCAAAGGCCAGCTTAGGAGTACCCTAATTAAGTTAATAACAATGTATTATACCTACCTATATAGTTTAAGTTTAAAAAATGTGGCTCTCAAAAGAAATTTCAATCGTTGTTCTGTTGATATTTGGCTCTGTGGACCGATGAGTTTGCCGACCGCTCTTTTAGGTAATACCGGGAGGAATGAACGGTATTTATATCAAGGCCCAACAATCTGATACTGAAACTAATACTGACACATTTGGTTTGAAAACTGTTTTAAACCTAAGGCCAAACTTTCGGTCACTTTATTAAAATGACAGCAACATTTTTAGTATATTTTAATTGCCTATGATTTTAGTTATTTGGCAAAGATATTAAGTTGAAATATTTCAAGACCAAATAACAGGTGCAAAGTAGAAATAAGTGGAAGCCAAGTGAGAAAGAGAAAAAATACGAGAGGGCAGCATTTACAAGCTAACATATGGCTTTTCTTTTCCTTTCATAGAAATTAACTTACAAAAGAATCCACTGAAGCTAGGAAAGCTAGGTATAAATCAGCTGTATTTCTATGTACCAGCACATAACAATTTAAAAATCAAAGCCATGTTTATGGAAATGTTTTCAAATGAGAACGTATTAAATGTGACATGTGATATAAATATTTGCACGCTCCAATCCTAGGTCACAGTGTATTACTTTAAAACATCTTATGTGTAATGAAAGATTGACACTTAGGTCAATATTTAATGCTGAAGTAGCTCCTGCGATAAAAATGACTCATGTGAACGATTACTGAACAAATAATGCTCACAGGAGATCTGTGCTGCTTATGACTAAATTAGCTCCTACGTGAACACTGACACATATTGGTAAATAACTATTCTCCTGTCTATGAAATGATAAATTTATTTTTAATTACAAGGATAAACTTGAGAAGAAGAAAAAAATCCATTTTTGATTGGCATAAACACAGGAGTACATTTACTAAAAGATAATCGAGGCCTCTTACCACTAAGATAAAGTAAAGACGACCTAACTAAACAGAGGGCTATACCAGGTCTTGGGTTGAATGACTCAATACTGTTAAGAAAGAAAAATTCCCTAAATTGATAGATTTAATGTGATCCAAATCAAAATATTGGCCGGTTTTTATTACAAATATGTGTGGATAGGGGGAAGCTGACAAGCTGATTCTAAAATTCTTTCCAGCCGAAACCGGTTTGGCTCAGTGGATAGAGCGTCGGCCTGCTGACTGAAAGGTCCCAGGTTCGATTCCAGTGAAGGGCATGTACCTTGGTTGCGGGCACATCCCCAGGATATGCAGGAGGCAGCTGATGGATGATTCTCTCTCATCAATGTTTCTAACTCTCTATCCCTCTCTCTTCCTCTCTATAAAATATCAATAAAATATATATTTTTAAAAATAAAATAAAATTCTTTCCAGTCTTTTCAATAAATTGTGGGTTAACAGGAACCCCATAGGGAAAGAAAACAAACAAAACTTGATCCCTTCCTCATACCATAAACTGCCCTGATTGTAAGTTTCTAAAGAGCTCCCTTCAGAGGGAAAGTCTACAGCTGCTTCTGAGTCCACAAACAGAGAGTGATATTTCCGACAGATGTTACAAGGTTGAGTTAGGAAATTAATGGGTCTGTTCTAGAACTCCGATAAAAGATTAGAACACTGAAACAGTGACACCTGTGGATATTCTCATCCTTTAAGTTTTAATTTTTTTCATTCATGTTGTAAGTGGATATTTCACTTTTGGTATCAGCTCCTGGGCAGCTTCCCTCCGTACACAACTGCTTCTCGACTTAGACTGCACGTCATAGCCTAAAATACCACTAGGAAAGAAAACCTAATTTTCTGAAACTTAAATTTGAACATAACCTCACCCTCACTTGAATTCCAGTGCATTACTGGGGAGGCCAAAAGGGAGTAAGGTTACGGCCAACAAGCTGAGAAGTGCACCTAATCCCAGTTCTTCCCTTGGAAGTGGATCAGCAACTGAAGGGAGCTCGTCCTAAGTGTCTATGGAAGTGAGACAGGGACGGAGGGCCTCTTATCTGGAGCACAGCCAAGAATCAGAAAAAAGTGTAAGAGCCCGGCAGGTGTGGCTCAGTGGTTGAGCACTGACCTATGATATAGGAGTTCAAGGTTTGATTCCCAATCAAGACACATGCCTGGATTGCATGTGTGGGGTGTGCAGGAGGCAGCGTATCAATGATTCTCTCTTTCCCTCCCCTTCCTCTGTGAAATCTATCCTATATAATAAAAGCCTAATAATCAAGTCGACCAAACGGTGGAAGGACCGGTCGCCATGATGCACACTGACCACCAGGGGGCAGACACTCAATGCAGGAGTTGCCTCTAGTCCACAGGACCCAGGCCAGCCAAGGCAGGTGCCCATGGGGGGCCCCTCAATCACCCTGCCAATTGCCCCACAGATCAGCCCTGACCACTGGCCAGGCCTAGAAACCCTACCAGTGCACAGATTTTTTTTATAAAAGCGTAAGAAAATCACGAAGCAATCAAAACCCACTAACTAGATTTCACACACTTCCTTTCAGTAGACCCTTAGAACACATGCAGTAATGCTGAGGGGGAGGGAACAGATTCCCTGCTGGTGACAAAGCTATCTCTGCACCAGCCCAGAGTGACCGCAGGGGAGGGCACCGAGAACTCATGACAACCTTATCTGTGTACATTCATCACCACCCATATAGATCTGGCAGCCCCACAGCGATTCCGGATTGCCTTGGAGATAGATCTGCAGGAGCGAGCACACGGATAGAGAGGTACCCTGCACTCCGGGACACAGGACGCACACACAATGGGGAGGATGTCTTCTCACCCGTGTCTCCAACTGCCCTCTTCCCAAATATGCTCTTCTTAAAGTGGGAGAAGCAAGTATCATGCTATTGAAACATTCTGCATAAAATCATTACAGTTTCTTTCATTCAGGTGCTTATTTTCAAAAGGTATGCTATAATAAGGTGGGAAACTAAACTTATATGAAGTAATTCTTTTTTTTTTAAATATATTTTATTGATTTTTTACAGAGAGGAAGAGAGAGGGAGAGTTAGAAACATCGATGAGGGAGAATTGTTGATCAGCTGCCTCTTGTACACCCCCTACTGGGGATGTGCCCACAACCAAGGTATATGCCCTTGACCGGAATCGAACCTGAGACCTTTCAGTCCTCAGGCTGACGCTCTATCCACTGAGCCAAACAGTTTCGGCATGAAATAATACTTAAACAAAGGATTCAGACATGTTATATACTAACTTCTCTTGAATCAGCGAGCCTATTAACTGAGAATTTAAAATAAAATTCATATTATAAAACCTATAAGATATATAGATACATGTATGTAGAAAACAAACTTAGATCTCACCTGTAAACAAGTCAAAATTCTGCTGCCTTTTATATCATTTATATTAAAGGGTAAAAAAAATAAATAAATAAACAAGAAATAGAATCACCCCAGCCCCCGAAAAAGTATTAAAGCTCTCAAAGGGCAAAACTGATGAAGAGAAACAGTTTTAAAAATATGTATTTTATACTTACATCCTGCAAAAATAACTGTTCCATACACGTCTTTGTTTGTCATGAAGACCACATTTGTTCCACTGCTTATAGAAACAGAAATGTTATGGACCTCGATGGCCACGTTTTCCCCATCGAGATGAATAAGGGGATACTTTGTGTTGCTGATCTGTGCTGAGGACACTTCTTCTCGAGTCACAAAACAGAACGTTATATCTGAGCCCACAGGCACCACTTTGTCTTGAGGAAAAGCCTTATTCTGAATATCAGCAGACCCTAGAAAGATCAAAAGGAATCACAAAGACGTCAGAAGTCTTTCACCATAACGTAGACCAGTGCAGACAACACATACTTTGGCAGCTCTATAACGGTGTCCCAAAGATAAGGGATGTCCTCCAGGTTACAAAGGAGCAAGGCACACACAAGACATGAAGTGTGTGTGGCTTTATCTACATATGGTGGAGCGATGGTGGAGAACGGAGGGGATTGTAGGTCAAGGTCTAAGGTCCTAGGGTCATGTCCAAGAAGTTCTCAACGCTCGATAGATGGGTTTACTATCGATAGTACATCCACATGGGAAAAGTCAACACCAAGCACCACTCAGGCACGAATTCCCTGCCTGTGAGTTGACCTATGCATTTAGGGAAGGCTTCCTGCCTTCCATCGGCCTGAAGACACGCTGGAGTACTCCACCTCCCAAACAGCACCTTCCCGCTAATCCCAGCGCTATGCAGCTTCAGCCACACCTTTGGTTTTCATTCTCCCAAGCAGTCACTCTTTTTAAATGACCTCCAGTCTCCGTCCCACCTACGTACTCTTTCCCAGGCGTAAGGAGGCTCTACCCCAGCCATTCCACACGGGAGCAACCGGCTGGCCACACTGCTCCGTCACCGGCCACTTCGGAGCGATCTTCCCTTCCGACGTCCACAGCATCTGGCCGCTGCCCTGTGTCCTCCTCCTCAAAACTCCCATCGCTCTTGGCTTCCCTGGCTGTCCCCTCCTGGGCTCCTCTCCCCCCCTGGCGGCTGTGCGCTTTGCTGGTCTCTCTTCCATGCTCCCCCCTTAGACATAAAGCTTCGAAGGGCTTTGGTCTTGGGTCCTTGGTCTCCGTTCCCCTTTCTCTGAGCTCCGGGAACCTCCGGGATTGAAACGTTTTTCACAGCACACATATGCTCCGATTTTCAGAGATGCTGTCTCCTGCTCCAACCAGTCGCCTGGGTGGCGACCCTGCACTTCCAGCTGCCTAGGAGACACTGCTGTCCAGACACTTCCGACGTCCCTGGAGCTCAGTGTTGAAAAACGGAGTGGATCTTTCCTGCCTGATGTGCTCATCTCTTTCTGTCTCAGTGGAAAGCAGCGCCAGCTACACAGCTGCCCACACTAACCGTCACCTTTGGCTCCGCTGCTCCCCGAGGAAACGCACCGGCCCGGTTCTCCGGGCTCCTCAGGGTGTGCACACCGCCCCCCTCTTCCTTCTAACCCCGGGGACCTAGCCTCGCCTTCACTGTCCTAAACGGCAACCAGCTGCCCCTTAGTGATCCGCCTGCTCCCGTCCTCCCTTCCTCGGATCTATTCTCCAGACTGTCACTAACGTGAAGAATCTACGACGAGGAGAAGTCTTTTTAAGAACGTCGTTTTACTGTCAGTAATTTGCCGGGCCTCTCCCGTGCTGCCAGCATTCTACCTGCACAGGAGTCTTATTCCGTGTGCTGGGGATTTGGGGCATATTTGCCGATTCCCATGCCTCTGCAAGAACTGTCCCCCAGAGGGGTCTGCTCTGCGGATGAGAAATGGGGAGGTTTTTTTGTTGTTTGTTTGTTTTGTTTTTAATACAGACTTGATCTCATTACCATCTACACGGTCTTCCATACCTACCACAATGATTTTCAAACCTGGATCATTTCCAATCACTCAAAAAGTTCTTTAAAATTACAGAGTCCTAATGTCCACCTCAGACTTTCTGAATGAGAACACGCTGGGATGGGGGGCCCGGAAGACCCCCCAGGGACCCCCATGCAGAGGAATGAGAGCTTCCACCACACCTTCCCCTGAGACAAGGGGATCCCAGCCCTGGGAGAGGCACAGTCCTCGCACGGAAGCTCACCGGAAACGGTCTGCAGGGGGCTCCAGTCGCTCCACTCCTTGCGGCCAGAGAAGTGTGTGTCGTCGATGTAGCGCCGCAGGCCCACGGAGTGAGGGGCGCACTCCAGGGGCAGGTCCGAGGCCCAGCTCCAGCGGAGGACTGTGTCCTCGCCGCTCAGGGTGCTGTGGAGGGTCTCCTGCAGGTGGACACCAACGCCACACTCTATGCCCTGCTGCAGGCCCCTCCCCGCTGGGCCCTGGTCAGGCGCATTCTCTCTCTGTGTCTCCCCCCCTCCCCCCTCCATTCTCTCTAAAAACCATTGCAAAAATATCCTTGGGTGAAGATTTTTTTTAAAAAAATGAAAATAATAATAAAAGAAAAAGGGGAAAGGAACCCACTGGCCGGTCTTGGAGACCCTGGGGCCACGGCTTCCTCATGAACGTGCCGAAAGACACGGAGGTCTGTCCTGAATGGATGGTGGGCGCACCTACGTTTGAATTTGCAAACTTAGAAGATCCTCAGAGAGAGTTGCTCACAAATATGTAACTGATAGAATACTAGTAGGCTTGGGTATTTTCACAGGGGATTTACACACTTTGGAGAGAACTTAGGATTGAGTTAATGAAGTAGATAAATGATACAAGAAACTAAAGGCAATATAAGAAATTATACTAAAAAAAAAAGAGAGAGAATAGTATCTACTACTTGGTTGAGTTGTAAATAGTGTTTATATAATTATAATACAAAAAATAAATACTGGTCTAACAAAAATTATAACAAAAATATACCGAGAAAAGATAAAAATTCTGGGGGGGGGGGGGGCGGGGGGGCCCATAGGGCATGAAAGCAAGCACACAAGTATGTGAGGTGACAGGGGACTAAATTCTCATCTTCCATTGTTGAGAGGTAATAAAACATTGCTCACAACCAGAAAAAAAAGGAAGGGAGAACGGGAGCAGCAAAGGTGCCACATGACCCACAGGTGGCTGCTCACGCCCTGCCCTGCCAGTGCAGCGCCTGGCTTCCATGGCTGTATGGGACGGGGTGGCAGAAACTGGCAACTTATAAACAAAAACACTCTAAGCATACTTCCAAGCTGAACATCAATATACAGTGTTCTTGATCTTTAAAGTATTATAAAATAATTGCATTATAACCTGCCACAAAATGACTGATAATAAGCAATTCTAACCGGTTCTGATATTAATAATGCATAATTATAAATTAAAAATGTCACTTTTATGGACCTGGCTCCTTTACCCTCTTATATTTCACTTTTTAAAATGAACTTGTTCGATCTCTATTTTCTTACCTCTGGCTGTGTCTCCCATACTAAGATTTTTCTTCAAAGATCACATGTACTCTCAAAAGCAGAGAATTACTACCTTGCCTTTGCAGTCCTGTTATGAATGAGTCATATAACCTTAGAATAATATTTCCGTTCATTCATGTTTGATTTCACTACACTTCAAAGAGATTCCCTATTATTCTAGCATCCCTACATTAGTTTTTAAAAAATCCACCCCACAAAGGAAGTAATGACAGCTAATAACTGGTTAGCAGCTTTATAAATATCCTATCATTAACTAGAGCAAATATCAGCACCAATTTACAGATGAGAGAAAGGAGGTTTCAAGAAGTTACCCTAAGCCAAGAAGTAGGAACCCACAAAATCTTAAGGCATAATAAAAAGCTACGTAATGTAATTTTAAGTGAGTAATAATTCTGAGACAATAGGGTAGAGCTATATCACATATAGCTGTGAATTACAATGACAGGCAAGGATTGCCATTAAAATTCCAGAAAAATAAGAACATCTTAGGCTGAGGTAAGTAGGATGGGCTTTCAAATAAGGAGCAGGATTTTTACAAGAGCCTTGAAACCTAGGTTCAGTTTGGATAGGTGAAAAGGAAGGGAGGGCATCATAGATGAAAAATTATATTCTTGCGATGTAAAATAATTGCAGTGGCTGAGCAGACTCTGGCCCCAGACTGCCTGGGTTTGAGTCCTGGCCCCACTGCTCAGTGTCTCTCCGGGACTCTGTCTCTCCATCTGTAAAACGGGGCTGATGCTTGTAGTGCCTCCTCCCTCATGGGCCTGCGGTGCGGAGCAGAGAACTAACACGTATAGAGCTTTTACAACAGTGTCGGGAACTCTGGAGGCGTGAGAGACATGCTAACAACAGTGGCTGCTACAGTTTCAGGAATGTAAAACTTGGATTGTCAAAAAGGAAAAACAAGGTAGCTATTAAATAGAATATCCTATGGATCTTTACTATTTCATCTATGTACTTAGGCAAAGAAATAGTAGCATCTTTCAAACCCACTAAGGAAGAAGAGTAAAAGGATAGAAGGGGGAATTACCACGTTACCAGCTGTCAAAACTTCTCACTACTATTCCTCACTATCCCTTAGAATTAGCTGTGTTTTCCGACGGTCTTAGGCTACCCTGCTGTAGAGCCTAAGACCATCGGAAAACACAGATATTGACATTACGATTCATTAACAGTAGCAAAATTACAGTTATAAAGTAGCAACGAAAATAATTTTATGGTTGGGAGTCACCACAACATGAGGAGTTGTATTAAAGGGTCTCGGCATTAGGAAGGTTGAGAACCACTGCCTTAGATTAAGACCAAACTAAACACAGATCATGAGGAAACCCATTAAAATTGGATTTAAAAAAATAAGAGGAAAAAACACTAAATATAAGAATCATATTAAGATATATTCAAACATACATATTTATACAACATTTCTTAATAATTACTATGGCTAAATGTTTCAAAACATTTCTTTTTTATGTTTTAATATTAGACAAATATAAAATAATAAACTAAATTATACATACACTTTTGTTTTATTTATGTAAAAACATGCATGTAAAACAGGCTAGACTGGAACACAGAAAGAAAATGTTCACTGTGCCCAAGTGATAGAATTATGGATTGATCCTCCCTTAATTTCCTTTTTATAATGGCTGACATAATTTTAATTGTTGAGTTATTAGTGGGCATTTTTCCACACTGATTTTTAGAGAGAGAGGGAGGGAGAGTGAGGAAGAGAGAGAGAAATATTAATGAGAGAGAAGGGTTGATCGGCCTCCTGCATGCTCCTTACTGGTGGACTGAGCTTACAATCTGGGCATGTGCCCTGACCAGGAATCAAACCAGCCACCTCTTGGCTCATGGGTTGACGCTCAACCACTGAGCCACACCGGCCGGGGCTGAGTGATTAGTTTTTAATGAATCCTGAAAAGACATCTGATCTACTTCCCTAATAACCCAAAGGTTCACTGATGTCACCTTAAAAGCCATTTTAAAAAGCACTCAGCCTCTTTAATGCCATAGGAAAAAAATCTACCTGGTTCAGACTTACTAATTTTACGAGTTCCATGTTCTCTGTACGCAGGACTTTAATTTCCCAAAGGACGTTTGCGATACGGGGAAAAGCAGAGCCCTTGTCACTCCACTCCAGGTGCAATGTGGAAGTTGAGAAATTGGCGGACAAACGCAGGATCTCCGGAGGGTCTGGGATGAGGGCTTCGAAAAGGAAACGGGATAACGCTCAGGAAAATAAGTAATGACTTTTCCTACTGTACTTCCATTAGTCAACTCATCTTAAACTCTATTCCTCCCTGATAAAAAAATAAGTCCTCAAGGATGAGATGCAAACTCTTAAACCTATTCGAGGGGAAAAGAGAACAGGGTGAAGGGGGAGAAAAGCATTTCGGCGCCCAGAGCGGGGAGCCCAGCGCCGGGGTGCCCATAGGGTGCTGGGCTTCAGCACGGTGGCTCTTTCAAACACTCCAGGGCAGCAAGAGGCGGTGACTTTAACGTTATGGGTCAGGGGCGTATTTTACTAAGGCGACATTCATCCACTCAAGTGCTGTCCTCCCCGAAACGCCCACACAATTTACAGTTTGTCTATCGATAAATGGCAACGGGAGGCTCTTCAAAACACAGGTCATACCCAGTATTTCAAGCTCCAGGCAGCAATTATAAATGAAAGGCTCGCTCGCTCTCTCTCTCTCTCTCTCCCTCCTTCCCTCCCTCTCTCTCTCTCTCTCTCTCCCTCCCTCCCTCCCTCTCCCTCCCTCCCTCCCTCCCTCCCTCCCTCCCTCCCTCCCTCCCTCCCTCCCTCCCTCCCCTTCACTTCGTTCTCTAGGGTATGCGCGGGAAGGTACCTGAGCTCCCATGATACTGGAAAATAGATACTTAAGAACAACTTTTAGCTTTCTAGAAACTAGGACCGTTCAGCTAAGAAATTCCACCAATCCTGTTTGTTTATTTTTTAAAGCGAGAGCATTTTTCTCCCAAAGCTCCCTGTTCTTTTTGCCTCGGGACATCTGAGGTCGGGAGCCTTCCCAGCTCCTTCGTAGGCTCCACAGTATTTATGCTGCCTCAGACCGATCAGGTTATTACAAGAGACGTAGACATTAAAATGCTTAAAAGGACTTTTTGTTGTCCAAAGCCTAGCCCTTGCCGATTAGAAAGTAATCACATGTACACACATATATACGTTAGACATCTTGTTCTCCCTGGGTATGCACACTTTTAAAAGCATCTCAAGATCTGGGGACCCTGGTTTCGCCTGCTTTTATTCAGTGGCAAAGGCCAAAGAGGCCTGCTTCCTCCAGCGCCCGCACCTCTAATCCCCCAGCTTCCCCTGCACACGGCAGGTGCCCGGGGACCTGCTGACGCCTCCACCGCCCTCTCTCCTGGTCATCTACTCTGCCTTTCAACTTCTTTCTTTCTTCTTTTTTTGTTTTGTTAATCATCACCTGAGCATATTTTTAGAGAGAGACAGAGTGAGAGAAACATTGATGAGAGAAAGAGAGAGAGAGAGAGAGAGAGAGAGAGGGAGAGACCAATTGGTTGTCTCCTGCATGAACCTGTACCAGGGCCAGGAATCAAGCCTGCAACCTGGGTACATGTCCTGGACTGGAATCGAACCAGGACCTTTAGTCCATAGGCCGATGCTCTATCCACTGAGCCACGCTGGCTGGAGCGCCATTCAGTTTCTTACCAGTGCTATCTTAGCAGCAGTGGTAGTAGTAATACTTAGTATTGGGATACTATTATCTAATATTCAAATCACAGTTGAGCCATTATTAAAAATGCTTTCATGAGATTACCCAATATGCAAAAACAATGAGCAATCAATCAAACAAGTCAGCTAGACTCTCCCCTGATGTGCCTTCCTCATCTTTCCTGACACTGTCACCCTCAAGCAGCTTCCCAGACAGGACTCTGAGCACCTGCTGCAGGTCAGACAGCACAAACGCGCTCTCAGACCGAGTCCTGGGGGATTTTTAAAAATCTGGGGAAAAACTGAGATTCCTCGTACAATACGACAAAGCAATTCCACATGGATGAAAGATTTGAATCGGGTAGAAAGCAAAACCAGAAACTCATCAAGAGAACTAGCAAGAAATTCTATTTACATAAAGACAAAAACCCGCGGTGTGAAAAAGTTAGAATTTTAAACTTGGAAAGGTATTTGTAACAAAAAGGACAGAAGTAACAACCATAATAATTCCAGCATGAGAAAATTTACAAAGGATAGAAATCATTCAAAAAAATATAAATGACTGATAATTAAAAATAATAGCCATCACAGAAATGCAAAAACAGCGGAGCTGTAATCTGGGGGCCAATGTATTGAAATGGAAACTACGACGGACAATCCCCAGTCCTGTCCAGGAGCTGGGAGAACAGGCACAGTCGAAGACGATGCTTTGGGGACTACAAAGAGATTCCGAATTTTTGGAGAACAACTGGCCATGGACACAAAAAAACACAATAAGTGGCATTTCCTTCAAGGCGGCGTTCCCAAGTCTAGGCCCTCAGCCTATCGAAATCATCACACCACGTCAGAAACATGTATGTGCAAGAGATACTCATGAAAGCACTGGTTAGAATATTGAAAAACTGGGGGGAAAAAAAAAACTCTCCGTGTTAACAACCAACCATTTAAAGCGATTATGGCACCCCCGCCCCGCTCCGTTTGGTGGAATAGGATGCAGTTTCTATTTGGGTAACGACTGGGAAATCTGAGTCACTTTCCAAACTCACGTTCTTTTCAAATACTTACACACATTTCTTTCACTCAGTATGAATCTGCTGATAGAACTTCCAAAATCCTGTAGAGGGCTTATCGTGATTTCATAGTGCCCAGGTGCAAGCGCTGGGATTTTAGTATTTGTTTTCCCCAACTGGTAACAAGTACGGGGCCTGCAACGTAAGAAATCAAATTTTAGTCAGCAGATCAAACGAACAGAACACGTCCCGTTAAAACTTGATTAACACAAAAGGCACTAGAAAATATCTTACGCTCTTTTGTACACAAAATCACGACAGGCTATCCTGCCTTTTAAGGATGCCAAGGGGGGGGGGGGGGTAACAGTAAGGGCATCGCTGCGGGTGGAAGAAAAGTCGCCAGGTTGTAGCAGAAAGTGGAGGAAGCACGGATGATTTCTCCCAGGCCCAGGACGGCCACGCGAGCTCTGCAAACCCGGCCTGACCTTCCACTGCACACCCCCACCTCCCTGAACACCCCTCTGCCACCCGACACGGACCTCAGGAAGGATGCTGGCTGCTCTCAACCAGAAACACACTCTCAACTTGTCTGCTCCTCTGTCTTGGCTCCTGGTTCACTGAGCAAACTTTCTGGGCAATTCTGCCTTCAGAATGCTTCTCCTTCCCACCCACTCCCTCTCGGACAGAGCGTCTGCCTGCCCTGGGGCTCCGTGGCCCTTCGGATCTTTACGAAACACGTTTCCTTTCTTTCACCGTCACTCACACGCTTTTCTAACTTCCCATAAACAATGTGACCCAAGCAAAGGGACTCTGGGGGCTCCCACGCCCCTGCCTGCACCCCAGCACCTAACAGGGCCCATTCACGTCATTCACTCCGGGCTGAGGACTTCAAACTCGGGGCTCCCTCCTCTCCGCTCGTGGGTGAGGCTTCTTTTGGTGCCAGCAACACAGCCAGCACAGGGCAGGGGCACAGGAACTAAAGCAACAGACCCAAGTGAAGCCATGTGACTCCACGCCTGCCACCCGCTACCCTGTAACCTGCTACCCTGCTACCTGCTACCCTACCCACTATCCTGCCACCCTGTTACCCTGTTATCCTATTACCCTGTTACCCTACCCTGTTACCTGCTACTCTGCTACCCACTACCCTGTTACCCTGCTACCTGCCACCTGCCACCAGATACAAAGCCTGGCTAAACAGCCATGAAGTCAGATTGCTATCAATAGCTTGCTCATACCACAAACGCTTACTCAGACCGGAAAAGAAAAACAAAACACAAAATACACCTTGTAAAGGTTAAAGTTAATCCCATGCGTTTTTTCCACTCCGTCTCCCTTACCAGCTGTTTCCCACAGAAAGTGCAAACAACGGCAGCTCCACCTCTGGAGAGGGGCTCCCTGCCCCACACGTCCCATCAGTGAACTCCTGGGGGGCGCTGACTCCCTCTCCCTGTGGCCTGCAGGGGGGGCTCCTCACACCTTTGAGGTCCCCCTTGTGCACTCGCAGTGGGACGGCACTCCCCACCCCTTGAAGTGGGGCCTGCAGACGTGATTTCAGTCGAAGAGAAAGCTAAGTGAAGTCACATGATCACTTCCACTCCCAGGAGGCCGTGGGAAGCCCTCCAGCTGTGCTCCCTGCTTCCGGTCACCACAGCCCTGGGCCTGGGCCGAGGGGCAGACTCGGCAGAGATACCAGCGGACCCAAGAGAGCACAGGACACAGCGCCAAAGCACCCTTTATTTCCGCAGCAGAGAGGAAAGGCGCCAGAACGGAGGGCTGTTTCTGCAGCACAACCAGACTCACCCAAGCTGATACGTTACCCCAGCTCTTAGGACAACACGCCACCAATGCCCACCAAGTGAGAGGAAAGCCTGAGTGTCCCAGTATGTAACCGCACATCTACATCCATCGCCATGGGAACCACCCATCAGCCCCCTGGGACGTGGAGCTGCTCAGTGGGGTCCTCTGGAATCACCGAGGCCAGCGCTGGGGAACACCCTGCCCACGGGCCTTAGGAGTCCCAGGACACCACTGGGTCTGGCCCTGCCAAGGCGTTAGAGATGAGTTGGCTAAATGTTTGACCAAATTCTGCATGCTAACTTTTAATCCGATAATTTTGCTCATAGGCGGGAGCTGTCAGCGGACCCAGGTAGTCCCATTTACCTGTTTTTGATGCAAACGTCGTACAGCGCATCGCGGCCTGCTCCAGGGGGCGCTCTCCACGAACAGTCCCAGGCTTGTAAGTCACTGGTCACACACTTCAGGTCCCGAGGAGCGCCTGCAGACAGACAGACACACACACACACACACACACACACACACACACACACACAAACACCGCGCTTAATGATGGAACCGCATGTGAAAAGCAAGTTCAACTGTAATTGGTAAGTACAAACGTATGTGCTGGCAGAGGGCCCCCGCTCTGGGTGCGGAGGGGGAGCCTGCGGGCCCCGGAGGGGGCTGCTTTTGCGTTTTTTTTTGTAGTTCGGGCTTAAAACAGCTCCAGAGGAACCTGATGAAAGCGGGCCAATCGCTGACCACGCAGGGGAAAGGCTTCTATCAAAAATCCCTCTTCCAGGCAACGGCCATAAATAGAGGGAGCGCCTGTGTGGAGTCTGCGGTGGGACCAGAGGGGGCCTAGGAGGATTTTTATCTCCAAGAGCCTCATTTGCTAAAAAAAGAGAAAAAGAACTCTAGGTAAAAGCTATGTCTTTCCCACAAACAGGGCTCTCGACACTCCCAGGCACCCCTGCCTCGCGGCTGGCTACCAGACTGCCACCTACATGGAAAACCCATAACCAGCCTCCAGGCTGTTACGCAGCACATTAAATCTCCACGGTAATGAGCTCACACAAGCATGTGAAAAGTATATTGTTCACGAGGGCCTAAACAATGGCAAAGCAGCCTTCCGGAAGATCGCAATTCTAACAGCACTCCTTGCGCCTATAAAGCAGCGTTACGTCATGGGACATGTCAGCACTGTGCAATGGGAAAATGTGTTTCCAAGAGGAAAATGCGAAGAAAAGAGGGCACCAGAGGGGGGAAAGGGAAAGGATGAAAGGGGGGAAAGGAAGGGAGGGAGGAGGGAGAGGGAAAAGCAATGAAAGTACAAAAGAGGTATTCTATCTCAGACTCTGCATCAGCCATTTTCAACCTTTGCATCTCATGGCACACATAAACTACCAAAATTCTGGAGCACAGCAAAAAATACATTTTTCACCAATACGACAAAAAAAATAAAATAAAAAAATAGGTATCATTTTAATTAATTCACACCTTATGACTAGTGTGTTGACTGCTGTTATTTTCTTTTTAAAAAAATATATATATTTTATTGATTTTTTTTTTTTTTTACAGAGAGGGAGAGGGATAGAGAGTTAGAAACATTGATGAGAGAGAATCATCCATCAGCTGCCTCTTGCACACCCCCTACTGGGGATGTGCCCGTAACCAAGGTGCATGCCCTTGGCCGGAATCGAACCTGGGACCTCTCAGTTCCACAGGCTGACGGCTCTATCCACTGAGCCGAACCGGTTTCGGCTGCTGTCATTTTCTTAGTTGACAATCTAAGGCAAGAGAGGTCAGTGCCCCTGACTAAACAGTCATGTTTTAAAAATTACTGCGGCACATCAGCCGAAAAAGAACCCTGCTCTACATAAATGTCTATGAAAAAAGCCTTTTTCTCTAGTTTTCACATGGAGCTGGCATGATATTTACATCAGCACTAAACCATAAAGCTGTTTGCATAAAAGAAAACAAAAACATTGTAAGCGCTCACATTAGAAAGTATCAGTGATTATAATAAAGCAATTTAATGGTGATCTTGGGGAAATGGAAACAGCATCAGAACTAAACCCAGGGGCAGAAGGATAATGTTTTATACAAATAAATTAGGTGACATCTAAACAAACCTTCTTAATGCAGTTAAATAGAATGAAAACACACAACATATTGCAGAGAAATACAGTGTTGGGTGTGGAGGTGGGAGGGGAGCGGCTGGCCCGGAGGAGCCTGGGAGAGTTCGGGAGAGCCGGGGCTGCATGCGTTTTTCAAAAAGCACAGAACTTGATCCCAAACGGGTGGATTTTATGGAACGTACATTACACCCGAGCTTGTGAAATGGGGAAAGAATGCTTAGATCTAGCTTTCAGGGCCTTTTAAAAAGCCGCCGAATGTACGTAGAAAAAAAGGTGACCGAGAGATGGGTTTTATCCACCAGCAAACCCTCGAGGTTCCAATGGAGACACGGGACTGCGGGGCAGTCCGCTGGCTGCCGGTGACGCCGAGGCACTCACCCTTCCTCTGGCCGCTCGCGTGATCCATCAGACACAGGAGCACAAACGTGGACAAGAACCGCCGGAGATGTGAGGTCATCCTCCCTTCGCCGGCCGCCATCCGGGTCGGTCGTCCTAGACACGAGGCAGGGCCCATCCTCCGTCCGGCGCGGTCAGCCCTGGACGGGGGAGTGGGGGGCAGAAGGTCAGAGGGCGCTCCGCCCGCCCCGGCCTCGCGCCGGGCATGTGCCCACCGCGGGCATGGAGAACGGGCCGGACCACGGCTGAAACCCCGCACGCTAATCCCCGGGGACGCTGGGCTCCGCCGGCCGGGCTTTAGGGCACATTAGCGATCGGGCACAGCTGTTGCCGCAGATCCATTAGAGCACATGTGTCGAACACAAGGCCCTCGGGCCAAATCCGTCCTGCCAGGCCTTGCAATGTGGCCCGCACGGCGCTGTCATCACTGCATTCCGCTGCGTTTCCATCACAATGACAGTTTATGACTGTTCAGTAAACCATTCGGCCCGCGATTTAGGCTGGATTTTAGACTTTGGCCCCTTCTCTGATTGAGTTCGACACCCCTACATTAGAGGGTCACTTTTCAAACGACCGGCTTCAAGTTCAAGGTTACGACCGAGCACCATGCTCTCCGCTCTAATGCTACCAGAGCAGAAGCAGCAGGCATGGAACTGAAGCGCAGACAGACAATTTTAAGGGACCCATGGAATGACACACTTCAAATTAATTCGTTTACATGCACCTTTACAGTCGCTCATTGATGACAAGTAATATCAGTTTTCCTTTGACACGGTGGTGTAAAGTTTCTATTTCACATACATTTAAATATAATAGTTTAAAGAGTAAAAAACAATGGGAAAAGGAAGATAGGGGTTTTGCAGATGTGATAAAAATACTGGTTATGACACGTAAGCACATGGCGCTTGCAAACGGTGACTGGCCTGGTGGGTGGCAGTGAGGGGCCTGGTGGGCGGCAGGGAGGGGCCAGGGCAGCAGCCCAAGGGCCAGGCCCTCCTCCAGGCACTGAGCACAGCACCAAACTAGACAGAGGCCCTGCCCTCAAGGACCTCATCAGATTCTAATTCGCAAAGACACACACCTAAACAAGAGAGAGCTTTGCCTTCCTGATACGCTCTTTGAAAGAGTAAGTCCGTGTGCATGAGCGTGAGCAAGATCTGACTGATGTGGAGGCGCCATGACAACCTCAGGGAACAAGCAGCAGTGAGTACCAAGTCCCTAAGGCAAAGACAAGCTCCCCAGGAAGAGGGGCTGAGAGCCGGGAGACGCAAAGGGACGTGGGCTGGTCATGGCCAAGGGCAGGGTTTGGGGTTTAACGGGGTTCAGAGGAGAAGTCACCGGAGTGCTTTAACCAGGAGAGACCCTGATCTGGGGTGCACTTGGAGAATTTTCCTCCATCTGCTGCGTGGAGGACAGACTCTGGCAGTGGGGGAGAGACTTTAGAAAGTAAAAAAAAAAAAAAAAAAAAAAAAAAAAAAAAAACAGGATGCCATGAAAAAGGAATAATCAGAAATAAAAATAGCTCTTACAAGTTGAAGACATTGCTTAATATTAAAATGCTTTCAAAGACAGATAAAAACATTGAGCAATCTTTCAGAGCAAACAGAAGAGAAAAATAGAAAATGTCACAGGAGATAGATACAGGGACTTGATAAGGGAAAGGAAATCCAACATCTAAATCACCAGAGCCTGAGAGGAGAATCCAGAGCCTGAGAAGAGAATCTGGAGCCTGAGAGGAGAATCCAGAGCCTGAGGGGAGAATCCAGAGCCTGAGAGGAGAATCCAGAGCCTGATTGGAGAATCCAGATCCTGAGAGGAGAATCCAGAGCCTGAGAGGAGAATCCAGAGCCTGAGAGGAGAATCCAGAAAACACTCTCCAAGGATATGGCAAGGCCCCCCGCGTGGCTGCCGCTGAGTGCCGTCCAAAAGCAAGGACGGGGCCCCAACTGCTTAAACAATCAGAACCGAACATACACGAGGCCGACCCCACATGGGGACAAGGTTCAGCGATGCTCAGGATGAACCGCTTTCCAGTCCAGCCCAGTGTCGTCGTAATGACTTATCAGAATGAAAATGTACTCACGGGACGTCTGAAACGCAATGTAATAGAATTACATCGTCTGTATGGGAGTAACTGGATGAAGGAGACAAAAATAACCACACACCCTATTCACCGGCTGGCCACGCATGACCTTGAAGTGAGATAGCCCCTCACTACACGTTCCTAGTCCTTAAAAAAAAAAAAAAGGGGGTGGAGTGTCCCACAAAGTGGCAAAGGCAGGGGGTGGAGGCATGGAGGCCCGCCCAAGGGAGGTGCTGGGGACTCAGGTGCTATCCCGGCTCCATCCCTAACGAGCGGGAGTCTGAGGGCAGACCGCTTACCCTCCCCCTCGGCTGCAGGCAGGGCATCAGAGGCCAGCTCTTCTCCGGCCACAGGGGGCTTCCCAGGGGGAGCAGCAGCCTCACGCGCCTGCTGGGCCCCATGCAGCGGGCACACTCCTGGCACAGGCCCGCGCCAGCAAGTGCGACTGCCCGGGCCGCCCCGAGGAGGTCAGTGGGCATCGGGGTGGGGGCTATCAGGAGCAGAAGCATCAAAGGCAGGTCGCCAACTGAGAACAGGCAGGATGACCTGCCCACTTTCCTTTGTCATCCCACCGACAGAGTACATTCCAAGCAAGTCATTTGGGCCAGGGGTCGCCAGCCATACCAGTGACCTGCGGACCCCCGGTGGTGGGTGAGGTCCGAAGGGCTGGCGACCGCTGACCTAGGTGATGCAGTCATACTATGCTTGTACAGACCTCGTTTCTCTGCCGGGCAAAACTGCCAAGCGGACGTATCTGAGGCTGATGGACACGTGAACAGAGCCTCTGGGGTGTGTTTCCGAGAAAAGGACCCGTGAAACGTGTCTCTGCTCCCTCCTGGTCACGGCACTGTCAGCATTGGCTTTTCTCCCCACTCGGCCTTGCTCGTAGAGCAGATTCCGGGAGCTAATCTTCAGACCCGGATAGCCGCCCGGGCTGCAGCAGCCGACGAAGGAGGCAAATGCCCGGAGAGCAGGGCAGGCACCGAGCCGCACAGGCAGCGAACCCAGCTGCCCGCCGAGTCTCCGAGGGGGCGGCCACCGGCCTGGAACCCACTCTCTGAAAGGCTGCTCCAGGATGTGACTCAACCCCCCCTCAAAGGAGGCAGAAAACAAAAATGAGAAACAGGCCCTCGCTGATGTGGCTCAGTGGATAGAGCATCAGCCTGCAGACCCAAGGATCCTGGGTTCGAATCCAGTCAAGGGCACATGCCACGGTTGCAGGCTCAATTCCCGGCCCTGGTTGGGACGTATGCAGGAGGCAACCAACTGATGTGTCTATCTCACATGGATGTTTCTCTCTGTCTCTCCCCTCCTCCCATGCTCTCTAAAAATCAATGGAAAAATATCCCCCAGGGAGAAGGTGGGGAGCGCACCACCCCTGTGCCAGGCGTTGGGCATTCCCAGGAGGCCAGCTGCCCCCTCCCCTGCTTCCACACTTTACAGCCATTGCAGGGGCTCCACAAACGGGGGCCAGCAGCCAGGCCCAGCCACCTGCACCTCTGTGAATAGTGGCACTAGGACAGGGCAAGCCCACTGCTTGTGCCCCGCCCCTGGCTACTTCCCAGGCAGCTTAGGGCTGAATGGCTTCCACAAAGACAAAACCAGGTACTGCCCGGCTCCCTACCCTCAGTGGGATGGCCCTGCCCGAAGGCAGCACTTCCTGCTTTTGTAATTCCCCCAACAGCCTGCAGCTCCCTGGGCAGAGTTCCCTGCTCACCATCAGCCCCGGGGTCCCAGCACCTAGCACTGAGCAGACACTGTGAATGCTAAGCCAGCACCTGGATGAGTGAACAAGACACAAATGAGCCGAAACCGGTTTGGCTCAGTGGATAAAGCATCGGTCTGTGGACTGAAAGGCCCCAGGTTTGATTCCGGTCAAGGGCATGTACATTGGTTGTGGGCACATCCCTAGTGGTGGGAGGTGTTTCTAGCTCTCTATCAGTGTTTCTCTCTCATCGGTGTTTCTAGCTCTCTATCCCTCTCCCTTCCTCTCCGTAGAAAATCAACTATATACACACATATATATATACATATATATATATATATATATATATATATATATATATACACACACACACACATACACACACACACACACACACACACACACACACATATATATAGTTGATTTTCTACAGAGAGGGAGAGGAAGGGAGAGGGATATATATATATCCCTCTCCCTTCCTCTCATATATATATTCCTGTCATATATATATGACAAAAATGAATATGACAAAAATGAATACACTTCTATGCTCTAGGCTTTGGATGGTTGTGACCCAAACTCAGAGCCTAAGTCGGGGCTGTGGTTTCTGGACCCTGTGCCGAGGAGCCCCCAGCACAGAAGCACCTGAACTGGGTATTATGGCATATTTTAAATTTTCAAAGCAAAGAAAGTGATATCTGTTCAACACTGTGGAAACCTTCAGCTCAAGACGGCTGTTTCCGCCCGAGGCCATGCTGCAGGCCTCTCGGTGAAGGGCGAGTTGCTGTGATAAAACACAAGTGCCATCCGGAGCTCAGCACAGGAATGGGGATGAGCCCAGGCCAGGGGGCGTGGATGCTCAGAGGATCATCCCAATACCCCAAGGTTGTGCGGGTTCAATCCCTGGTCAGGGCACTTCTGAGAACCAACCAATGAATGCATAAATAAGTGGAACGACAAATCTCTCTCTCCCCCTCTCACAACCCCTTCTCTCTAAAATCAACACATAAAAAAATAAAAAAGAAAGAAAGAAATGGAAATGAGGGTGGACGGGTCCAGTCTGGTACCAAAGTTTGGGACGCTATGCAGTCCCTAACAGGTTCATACGTGTGGCTGTTGACGAATGAAATAAAAACGTTTCCCCTAGCCTAAGCCGGTTTGGCTCAGTGGTAGAGCATCAGTCTTCGGACTAAGGTCCCAGGTTTGATTCCAGTCCAGGGCATGTACCTTGGTTGTGAGCACATCCCCGGTAGGGGGTGTGCAAGAGGCAGCTGGTCGATGTTTCTCTCTCATCGATGTTTCTGACTCTCTCTCCCTCTCCCTTCCTCTCTGCAAAAAATCAATAAAATATA